TCTCAAAATTATTTTTTACTTACTACCACCAGCAATCTATACATATAATAAAATTGTAACTAAGTCGAATCTGTAAATTAAATATTTTTTGGAAAATCTTATTGAAATAGACATTATTATCGATACAGAGTCCGAATCTATAGTTTTTAGAATTTTTGTCTGTCTGTCTGTCTGTTACCGCATTACGAGAAAACCACTGGACTGATTTTGATGAAATTTGGAATGATGATAGCTGGTTATCCAGGTCAATATATAGTATACTTTTTACCGCGGGAAAATGTCTCATTTCTGAGAAAAAAATACAAAAACTGCAATGTAAAGAGTATACTAATATGTAAAACCTAAGAATTTTTGTTCATAACCGTGATATACGTATGTTTCTTTTTGGTAAAAGTCATATGTATAAAATTAGCAGTATATTTCTCTATGAATTTTTAGTGTAGGTACCCTTACTAGGAAACTAGCAAAAACAATCTCAAGTAATCATGTTATATTAATCTCATCAACTTTCATGGCAGTAGTTCCCAACACATTCAGGAGATTTTCATATTTTGTCTTTATAATCTAGTTGTTCTATTTAAGAAAAATGCTAGCTTCGTAAATATCAAGTAACCCATTAGAAAAAAAATCTTATAATTCTTTTCCTTTCAATGTTTCGTATACCTAATTGCCTCTAAAACCATCATTTAACCTAAATGAGTTTTTCACACATCGTTGGTCATACTTTATTTGTTCTTGGCATATAACCTCATTAGTAAAGAGAATTGGAACAGATTTAGTTACGGTTTTTGAATAAGATTATTAACTTTTGAGTTTGAAATTTGAATAGCTGACAAAGATTGAAAGTTTTACTTTGAAGAATAAAGTTGTGGCCCTTTGATGGGATATGGTTAAAAGCTTGCTATGTCTTGAAAATACTTTTTGTTTTTATTGACTTTTTTATTTATATGAGCCGGCCCGTCCGTCCGTCCGTCCTACTTTTAAGACTTGATAGGTTATAATTTTTACGGGTTGTGATAGTTTAAAAATATTTTGCTATTATTTAATTTTTATCACAATCACAAGTTATGTATTTAATATTATTTGCACAATAACAAAGTAAAGTACAAGAACAATGTTTATAAAAAGTTAAAGGTGAGAACGTCTGATTTAATTTGGCTACTTGTCAAGAATTCGCTTTGTAAATCTATTTTCGTTCCATCGTGCATATTATATTTATATTTAGAAACATGTAAATTTAGTTTTTGCTCCTAATTACCAAAACACTTGTCGTGTTAGTTAAAAATTTAAAATAACTAATCATATAATTGTTGTTGTCATATAATTGTACTAGTATTATATTATGTTATTCTTAGGATGTTTTGTTTTTTAATGCTTTAATGGATTTTTTTTTCTATTGTGTTTATGCATACCGCTATGGTTTTTTTTAATAAGTATCATAATATAGTAAATACTATAGTGACAAACAATAATAAATATTACCTACCATATTGTTTAGCATATTCAACTTCTAATTGTATACGTATGAGTAGATACTAGTAAAAGTTGCAGAAAAGGTTAGTGTTCAATTATATCTATACTAATATAATAAAGAGGTAAAGTTTGTGAATTGTGAGTTTGTGAGTTTGTGACGTTGTAGGGGTAATCTCTGGATCTACTGAACCGATTTAGATGAAATTTAGTAAGAAGATAGTTTGAGACCCTGGGAAGGACATAGGATACTTATCCCGGAAATCATCCTTTAAGGGGGTGACAATTGGGATGAAAGTTTGCATTGGGAAGTATGCTAGGGACGAACCCGTGAGTCGCTAGTTTTATAATAAAATAACAAAATATTATCATTGTGCGTAGATAATATTATCTTACACTGATATTATCAAACATTAAAACTAGTATTTTGAAAGAACAATGATATAATGACCTTTGAAGCAGCTGACGCGTTACGGCCATGTCTTGAAGGTGCATCCGAGGTTATACTAATTCAAATCTAATATAGAAGTAGTGAAAAGGAGTCAATGTTGAAACAACTAATGGCAAATATTTACTTTATTTGCTCAGCTTAAGGAACAATATAGACGGTGTCATAGCCCTAAACATGAAGCTCAACTATTTCAGGTCTAGGCATTGCCTTTTGCTCTATAAAGCGCAGGTTTCTTCTCATGGAATATTGTTCGTATCTCTCGGTTACCGTCCCCAATACCAATTTTTTCCATTTGACTCTATCCAACGTCGGGCAGTTCGTATTGTCGATGATCCCACACTCACAGACGACTTAGAAAATCTAAGGCTCCGAAGAGATGCTGGCTCTCTGTGTACCTTCTATCGTCTTTACAATGGAAAGTCTTCTAATGAAATTTTTGATCAGGTGCCACCGTCGCGTTTCTATAATCGCACCCTTCTTTGTTGGGTTGGATGTCATCCACACAATTTAGATGCTTGGCATTCCACAAATGTACGTGCATCTCGTTCATTTCTATCTCGCACGTGCAAATTGTGGAATGATCTTCCTTCTGAAGTTTTCCCTAAGCGCTATAATAATATGAGGCTCTTCAAGAGTCGTGTCTTGGAGTTTTTGTCCAATTATGTATATTAATTAGTACATAGTAATAATACTATACCTAATCGTATAGCTATTAAATTGAAAATTCATGATAGGTATTAAAATGGCTTACATTCTGCGTTCTAAATCATTTGAAATAAATATTGGATTACACAAATAATGTAGAATTTCTCACGTTTCGGAAAGCAACTAGGTCAATGTTAGACATACTTTATACTGTACGATTCACCCTTAAACGAAAAGAATTCTTTTAGCCTTGTTTCCTTGTAGTAATAAATTTCCTCAATATGTGAGTAAAATCTTATACCAAATAATAACATATTGTATAATAAAGCATTTATTGTTTTTATTACAAATATTCTGCCATTGTTTATAATTGACCTTGAAACAAGGAAGTATACATTTTAAAAGTTCTTCGCCCTTCCGAAGTAATCAGAGCGATACGGGCGTTCATTAGAATTAGTATGATGTAATGTAACCTTTACAGCCGGTCACACGTATGAGCTGAGATATAGGAAGAGCCAAGATTATATCTTAGTACATGATTGTAGATATAATTAATTACAGAACTAGACTTCGGCTATGTGATATGTTTGTTAAACATAGAGATAACTGTTTACATTTTTGATAGTTTAGGCAAGCATCCAAGTTTAAGAAAATATACAGTACTATCGACTCACCCTCGCTTCGTTCGGGTGTTTTCTATATGTGTATGTATATATATATATGTGTGTATATATATATATATATATATATATATATATATATATATATATATATATATATAGGTGTATAGTTTTACAATAATGTATGGAAGCTGCTCGATTTGTTGACATTTATGATTACTGCTCTGCTCACTTGGGTAGCATGATGAGATATAGGCATAGCCGTCCTTAATAAACGGGCTATCTAATGCAAAAATAATTTTTCAAATCGGATAAGTAGTTCCTGAGATTAGCGCGTTCAAACAAACAAACAAAAACAAACTCTGTCTGTATATAATAGAATATTATATTATAATATATAAGATAACGTTAAAATAGTATAGGTATCCACTTTTTGGGCCATGGGCCATAAAATAAGTACCTTTATATTTATTAAATAAATGCCCATTGTGATTAATTTTTATGTGAGTGTAGTGGAAAGCGTATCTGATTAGCATGATTGGCATTCCTTAGTATATCGAAACAAATTTTGCGATCTTGACGTTAGACTTATTAGTTATGTTTATTGACAATCTTAAAATAGGGATGCATCCTACGAATAAATAATAAGTATTTATTCGTAGGGTGCATCATCTAGGTAACCGAACCCAATATTCGGGCGAATTATTCGGTTCATTTTTGCACATTAATTTTATAAAAGTTGAATTATGTTGATTTTTAAATAATATAACATATAATTTTAGTATATATTAATCTTGACTGTTGCTCTGTATGATCAAGAAATAGTCGGGAAGGCTCATACGAATATCTACCACTTTTTTGTTTTCTAATGTAAAATAAGTGATTGGTACAGGTGGTACAGGAGTTATATGCAAAAAAATATTAAATCTTAATCTACCGAGCTGAACATTTATTCTTTTAGATCTCAACGATTTTTATGTTCAAGGGTTTATAAGTGTAAAAAACAAGAAAAGCGCCCTAAGCTACGCACCTAAAAATGGAATTTACTAGGAGAATATTACTGCGTCATAATATAACCAGATAATTTAACCTATCGGCGATAAAAGCTTTAAATTATTTTTTTTAAAAAATTACTGTTCAAAATCTATACAATTTGATAAGTTAGAATTGTTAAAGAAACAAAAATAGTTGCAGTCGCAATATATCACACACCAACAATAGTCGGATAATACTCGTAATATATATTTTTATTCATCCGATTATCGGACATACAGACACATCATACACTGATTAATCTTTTATTAATGGTATTTAAATATTACATTATTATTTGGCAATCTAGTCGACTAAAAATTTGGTCTAATACGAACATAAAAAATACGCCGAACGTACCGAATACTATTTACTTAGTATTTAATATTTATGTATACCGAATACTATATCGCTCGAATATTATATACCGAATAATATAATATTCGAGCGAACATTGGACGTCATCTATTTTAAAATTACTTCTCACTTCACATTCTGTAAATTAAAAATTTAAAAAACCCCCGACCGTCTTGGACCGTTTTTTATCAAACATAGCTAAGAACACTCCCCACTAATTCACCTTTCAAACAAAAAAATAAATAAAATCTAAATCGGTTCATCCGTTCGAGAGCTACGACGCCACAGACAGACACACACACGTTAAACTTATAACACCCCGTCGTTTTTGCGTCGGGGGTTAAAAGTCGATTAAATTGCGTGGAACACTTTTTTATTTTTGTCCGTAAATTAAAGCAGGATTAATTGTATAATATTGTCCACAGATTGGTAGGTCATCAGAGTCACCAATCGATTTCGTAGTGATGGACACAGTGGCGGGAGATAAGAGCGGCGACACAAAGGTACTACAAAGTACGATATCACGGTTCGCTTGTCGAATCATCGCCGACCGCAACGACGTAAACAATTGCCGCATATTTGCAGCAGGCTTTGACTCCTCTAGGAATATATTCCTTGGCGTAAGTTGATTTTTAGAGATATTTTATTTATCATTGTCTTTAGGGTTCCGTAGGTACCTCAAAAAAAAAATTAACCCTTATAGGATCACTTCCTTATTCGTCCTTTCAAGATATTTTTTTCTTAAGAACGTGAAGAGATACCAAGTTGAAATTATTATTAAATACTTAGTTCTGCAATTCTTTGAAGCTGTAAAAAAATATTTAAAAGTTAACGACATCAAAAGATGATGCAAAAGATGATCGGCTGTTTATATTTTGACACTCGCAAGGAGTCGCGAGGGAAACAACACCTATAAAAGCAAAATCTTAGAAGCATAAGTAAAAGGAATAATCTAAAAATCGTAAATTTGTACTTACGTTACAAAAAAGATTATTTTTTGGTTGTTTTAATGTTTCATGCTACTCCATCCGATTTTTTACTTATTAATATAAGTTGAGCGAAAATTTGTTTGCTTTATATTATCTTAACGATTCAATTTGATATAGTTGCTCTCTTAGTTCATGAAGAAGTTCTTGAGAAAAAAATCAAAGAAATTTGGAGACCTTCGCCTTAATAACATTGCACGTCCCTTGAGCCAGTTAGAATATAAGAAGGAAACTATTTTTATCATTTTTTGTTATATATCTTTACAGGAAAAAGCGACAAAATGGTCAGATAACCATGAGATCGATGGTCTAACGACAAATGGTGTGCTGATAATGCATCCCCGAGGTGATTTCTGTGGTGGCAGTGCAACTTGTGGGCCTTGGCGTGAAACTTCAGTCGGCGGGGCAGTGTTTTCCTTACGAGAAAGCCGATCGGCACAGCAAAAGGTACGTATTATACCTACGCAACAAGTAGAAACATTGTCTACACCAGTACTTATAAAAAGGATCGGAAGTGTCTGATCTAGTCTGTGGTTTTAAAAAGCTATTCCTTATCAAAAACTCTATTTATATGACCACAATTTCAAGGCTAATATACTTATAAAAAAGTCATTATGTGTCTATTTAAACTTGCTAACCTCCGGAACGCTAAACTGATTTTAATAAGATACTTTGTACCTCCTGAACTCCTGACAGAAAGTAAAAGAAGAACAGGAAGAAATAATGTTTTTAATAGGATTTTATATTATATTTTATACGCAAGTAGACTCGCTTTATTAAATATTAAAGTAATTTATAAATGTAATATCCTAACAATATATACCTAGTACGATATTCTAAGCAATACACGTTTTCTTCTGCTTCTATACTTCAAAATATTTTCATTATGACTGATTATTATTTTTGTGCATTATGGTCAGGTAAGAGGATGGCGTTTGTTTTTATTTATTAATGTATTTGTTAGACAACTACAACTTAATAATAATAATAGATAGATAAATAAATACATGAATAATTTAAATGCAAATTTAATCTTCAGGGTCTGCCTTGTCAAGCGGAAACTAATGTATTAAGAGATGGGACAATGATCGACTTGTGTGGGGCAACACTACTATGGAGAAGTGCCGAAGGACTAAAGAATTCACCTGTAAGTTTGCTTGCCTTTGAATAAAAATGGAATAGTATTAAAATAAATTGCTGAATAAAAGCTTAAAAGAATTAACCAAACATATCCTATCAGTAACTCATATTTATGTTTCCAGCAACAAAAACATAGGACTCATATAAACTTGTAGCCTATAAACCTCTTTAATTTACCCCATATCGCAAAATTCTTAGCTGTCGTATCCCACCTATAAGCTAATCTAGCTTACTCGTAGGTCAAGTTGTTTTCGATGTTTCGAATTTAATCAATGAATAAAAATGCCTTTATTTATTTAAATTAAAGAAATGCAACGCTATATTAGACTAAAACGGACCGGTTGTTTTATCTTAGTAGTACATAAACTAGACTTAAAGTATACTTTTTGTTTTAATCAAGAAATATCTATGTTCGATTCAATTCAATTTTCTTGTTAATGGCTTCAAAGCTTGCTAGATATCAATGTTGTCAGCCCGTTAGTTCTGCGTACAAAAACCGACACAAACTCAGTATTCGTTCTTTAAAATGTTGCTTTACAGTGTCTTTAATATGATATAACCCTTCTCTTTATATGAATCAACTTGCTTTATTTATACATAATTTTATTTACGTTAAATAAATTGAGTTACCTTAAAACTCTGGCGAGTGACAAATCCACGACAGTTTGTTGAATTTTATTATATTATACATAGTTCTCTGTAACGTTAAAGGTTTCGGAATTTTGTCAATACCAAGTAAAAATTGTAATTTTTAATTAAAAAAGATCCTAACGATTTATTAAATATAATACATTTTTTCCAGACAAAACGCGATTTGGAAGCTCTTGTGGATGAACTAAATGCAGGGCGGCCGCAGTGCCCCGTGGGTCTCAATACGCTGGTCATACCTAGGAAACTGTCGTCTGCCCACCAGGACTTGAACCAGCCTTACGTTTACCTCAACTGTGGACATGTTCAAGGTAAATAATTATTATTAGTATTTTCCCGCAGCTTTGTACGCGTAGTTAATTTATGTATTAACTTCATCATTATCTTTAAAAATTATAGCATATGCGTTACTCTGATTGGTGTGTTGAATTTCGGAAAAAATATGTAGACAATAGCAATTATTTGAATGGAAACTCCTGGCATTTGTTGTATGAGGTACATTACATTTTTCTTGTTGTATGTATAGAGTTTTATTGTCCATTTTAAAAACTATTTACTAAGATTCATATTCATATTGGCTTTAAAATTAAAATGTAATCAATTAAATAGTAAATTAAAAAAGGAAAATATGTATTGTATATCAATACAATTGACATTTAAAGTCAATAAACTCTTCGTCGTTTGGACAAATGAGCTGAGACAGCGAATAATTAATAAATATAGGATTTAGTTTCATAGGTTTTTAAATTTGAGCTAGTTATGCAAGAAGTTTTGCCATACTTACTTTCAAAGTTTAGGAAGTTTTCAAGGTGTTCTAAGGGTTTATAGAAACCGTTACAGCCAGTGTAATAAGTTTCGTGATCACTAAGCCATCGCTGTCAGAAGTATATAACAGTAAAATACTTAATATGTAAATTATACGTTGTTTATTTGTAATATTAAGCACATGACCTATGCACGGCAGTAAATGATCTTTAACTCCGTTTCTTTACTTGTATGATAAGTATCCAATGTAAATATTTGTTTCGTAAGAAAATGATTTTAAATTCAGAAAAAGCTTGCTGTGTTGATGTGGCATATTGTTTAATTCGTCAAATTTTAAATGACGACATCTGTTTGCAAATACTTGCTATTTTGTGAAATGCTGATACTAGTAAAATATAATTTAACCTCGAAATGTAAGTACGCTTTTAGGGCTCTATTTCAAAAACTTTCGACATTAGTATTAGATATCCTTTAAGGTCAAATCTATAGAGAATTTTATGGTTTATAATTCTTTAATGATTTCAAATCTCATTTTGAGCGCAGGCCGAAGAAAAAACAAGATATTTTATTTTAAAAATAATTAACATATAAAATGCTCTAAGAAAGGAATTATAATTTTATAGCTAAACACCTTTCATTCCTGGATTATTATCTTATTAGACTGTGCTGGAGAATTAATTCGTTTTGCCGAAATATATGGAACATTGATTTTAAAAATATACGAAATATATAGCATCAGTTATTTTACGAAACCATTAACTACTAGCAATTTACCCTCCACTTTTAACAAAACTTCGCTTCTGCTGGTCGGTAATGTAGGTTCTGATACTGAAAACCCACTAGTGAAAGAATTGTTATATTTGGATTAGTAGTTTCAAAGATTACTCGCTATATACAAACTTACAATTACTTAGTATTACAAAAGACAATGTTAGTGCCTTCTCCATTCTTTCTTCGACATTGGCGAAGTAAACTATGCCCAAATTGCACGCCTATGACCTACCTATAGCCGCAGACAAAGAATTGAAATTGATTAATTACCGATTTCTTCCAGACAACCTTAGTGTTAATAGAGAAGACTATATTTCAATGTAGATTATTTGTTGAAGAATCTTATAAAACACCTCTGTTTTATAAAATATATAACATTTTAATCTCTCCGTATATAATATTCTATAAATATGTGCCTTATTTAATTATTGATTTGTTTTAATTCAATTGCGATATTTGCCAAAGAATTTTTACTTCAACCGCGCGTAAAAGTTACACGCACCCACTTTTTTAAATATTTATCAATTTTGATTGTTCCAGGCGAGCACTCTTGGGGCGCAGAAGGCAGTGAGACGGGTGTGCGGCGCTGCCCCATGTGCATGACGGCGGGGCCAGTGGTGCGCGTGTGCATGGGCATCGAACCCGCCTTCTACGTGGACTCTGGCCCACCCACGTATGCCTTCAATCCTTGTGGGCATATGGCTTCGGAGCGGACTGTCAAGTTAGTAATATATGTATATTTATTTATCTATAACGTTAGTGTAGAGGGACTAATGGTTTTTAGCATTTAAGCGACTGGGACTAATTAATGCGTAAAGTTGTTAGGATTACAATAAAATTTGTATGGTTTTTTGTCATTGGAAAGTTAGTAATACATATTGTAACTCCGTGTCAAAGCAGTCCGGGACATGGCTTATCCACAGTATAAAAATCTACACTGCACATGAACGAATTGTGCTATGATAACGACAATACCGTCATATAAAGATTGTTAAATTAAATTACTTATTTTTATGGAGAATGGTTTAAGAATTGCGTTATTTAGTTGCGACTTTAAAAAAAATACATTTTATTCTTCTAAAATCAATTTTAAACAAAAACAAAACGATATCGTACTGCTTCCACAATAAAAATAAAGAAAATCGCACAATAAATAAATAAAATGATCAAAAAAAGCACTCGTACTAAAAAAAAGGTGGCCGTCACGGGACGCCCGACAGATGTGAAATATGTATGTTAATATTAGAATTCATAATTAATAAAAACCTATAACGAAAAATGAGTAAAGGAAAGAAAAAATAGAGTTTCCTTAATAAAATAAATTTAGTTTACTTATTATTTTAAATGTGATAATAATTACAGTATGTATTTATTCCTAAATAGAATAGAAAATGTGTAAGTATTTTTAATAGAGAGAGTCGAGAGCGTTGACGAAGAAGGAACATGATGGTATGACAGCGTTACGCCACCGTGTGCCGACACACCGCGAGGCGGTTTTACTGCCAAGGCAAACCAATAGATATTTCACATCAAAAAAATTGAAAAAGAGCTCAATAAGAAATTACGTATTTATAATACTAATATAAATAATAATTCTCTCAACAGATACTGGGCGAGTGTGGACATACCGCACGGCACGAACGGCTTCCACGCGATCTGTCCGTTCTGCGCGGCGCCTCTGCAGGGCACGCCCGGGTACGTGCGGCTCATCTTCCAGGACAACCTCGACTGAATCTCTTCATAGGTACCTCATATATATAATACTAGTTAGTAATTACTTACCCTCGCCTCGCTGGTGTTCCTATTCGCCTGACAGACATCTATGTGCTACTCTGTTATTATAGTTTATTACATTGATGACACGTTTGGCTCAGTTTATAGCGACCCTACTTGCTGTGCCAGTGATCGCGGGTTCGAGGCCCGCTGGGGGCTTTCATTTTTGAGCACGAATGTTTGTACTCTCTGCAACTCTAGTCATGGGTGTTTATATTTATAATATTTATGTATTTAAAGTTATATATTATGTGTAGTGTATCAACTATCTGGTATCCATAACACAAGCCTAGTATCTTACCACGGAACTAGACGGTGCTGCGTGTTAATGTCCCAATATATTTATTATTTTTTTATTTATCTGTGTACTAAATTTCATATAAATCCATTGATCAAAAAAGTACTAAATACACCATCAGCGACAAAAAATGTTCTCATCGAATGAGCGCTCATTTGAATATTTGAGCGCGCTTTTAATTTAAAAAAAATGTGAATACAACTTTAAGCATTGCAGTTCAATTTACATTGTTGTATATTTATTTTAACTAAAATAATTACCTAAACACAATTGCCCGCGGCTGCTTTCAATCTCTATTTCGAACGCTGTTGCGGTTCAAATATGCTGAACCACAATAGAATCATGTGATTTTAAAACAACACATGTCCTTTCATTACAACTTTTCAGGAAGGAGAAAATACTGAGTTTTATTAAAATAATAATTTCTACAACATTAATATCTTAGACTATTATGTTCATTTATGTAAATTTGTTTTTTCTAATAATATCAGTAGGTAGGTGATAGGAGATGATAAATGATTTTAAAAAAATATGGACAAGTGTTGTTTTAAAAACACACATGTGACTTATGTTGTTTTAAAATTATATGAGTTATAGCATTGTCCCCGGCACCGCCCGCGTTCAGATAACCAAAAACCAAATTCTTAGGTTTTACATATTAGTACATATATACTCTTACTTTGCAGTTTTTGTATTTTTTCTCAGAAATGAGACATTTTCCCGCGGTAAAAAGTATCCTATATGTTGACCCGGATAACCAGCTATCACAATACCAAATTTTATCAAAATCCCTCCAGTGGTTTTCTGTGAAGCGGTAACAAACAGACAGATAAAAATTCTAAAAACTATAAATTTGGCCTCTGTATCGATCGAATAATGCTTATTTCAATAAGGTATTTAAAAAAAAAATTAATGTACAGATTCGGCTGAGTTATAATTTTATTATATATATACACTAGCATTGTCCGCGGCGCCGCCCGCGTTCAGATGAACAAAAACCAAATTCTCAGATTTTACATATTAGTATACTCTTACATTACAGCTTTTGTATTTTTTTTCAGAAATGAGACATTTTCCCGCGGTAAAAAGATTCTATATGTTGATTTATATTTCAATAAGATTTTCCAAAAAATATTTAATGTACAGATTCGGTTTAGTTACAATTTTATTATATGTATAGGATACATGTATTGTTTTAAAAGTATAATATTCATATTACATAAAATTAAACAACTTTTTGAGTAGCATAATCAATTTTATTAATGAAATTGAAACAAAAGTTATACTTGTTATTAATTTGTCGACAACGCCATATTGATTTTAACTATTTAGTATTGATATTGATTTTAAATATTAAGTTTAGATGTCATTTGCCAAAATTGCGTGCTATATAAGGGGATACGTTTTAAAACATCACACAGATTGAAAGCGCCTAGATATGTGTGATTTTAAAACAATACCGTATTTCAACGTTTTCGTTTAGTAGTACTAGAGCGTAGGGGTATGTGTGGTATTTTGACAAGAAGTAGATATCTAACGAATAAAATTTGTTCAGAAACTTAATTTTCAAAAAACTGTGACATGTGTTGTTTTAAATCATACTTATTTATAGGGTTCAACATAATTCTGTGAAATTCGTAAATATTAGTGTGTCTATAATATGTAGCTGAAAGACCAACATGTCTGAGAGAACTTAACTAGAAATGAACTCTCGTGTGTGGAATACTGTAGCCACATATGGGCTGGTGCTGCGAAATGCCATCTGTCAGCCTTGGACTCGATTGAGGCGTGCTTAAAGGCTCATAGGTGACCCTACGCTGGTAAAAGCTAACTTACAAAGCCTCGATCACCGACGTAGGGTTGCCAGCCTTTGTGTATTCTATAGGTTACATTTCGGAGAGTGTGCGCAGGAACTACATGAATTAATTCCCCCATCCCCTTTCCATCATCGGATAACCCGACGAACGGCTGGTCTCCATCCTTATGTCGTGGACATTCCACCCGTCCGCACGAAGCGTTTCGCTATGTCATATATTATACGTACGGCTAAGGATTGGAACAACCTGCCTGCGTCGGTGTTTCCGTCCGAATATAATATGGGTGTCTTCAAGGCAAGAGTTAATAGGTGGCTACTGAATTAGTGCGACTTACCATCTACGACTGCGTTACCACTTACCATCAGGTGGAACGTAGTCAAGCACTAATTCTGAATAGTATAAAAAAAAACTAGTGAAGTCTGCTAACTCATACTTGGTGTAGCCACATGTATGGCCTGATTGTATTGAACCATGCCCAACAGTGGGATGGTAAAATGGGCCGAAAGAGAATTTAATAGGCAGTGGTAGCCCAGTGGTAACGCGTGCGCTTGGGAAATTGAGTGAAGTGGGTTCATATCCCGGGTCTCGCACCTCTGATATTTTCATGTGCGAATCATTTCCAACATGTTTACCACTTACCTTACGATGAAGGAAAATATCATGAGGAAATCTACATGTCTGAGGGAACCTAGCAAATTTTAAGACATTTTTTTCAGTTCGTTTCACATGTAGTTGTAGTGTATGTATGTAGTAGTAGTCACATCGTAGTTCACATGTCTTTCGAAAGTCCGCCAATCTGCACTTGGCCAGCGTGGTGGATAATGGCCTGATATCCCTCGTATTCAAGGGAGGCCCGTGCCCAGCAGTGGGACGTTCAAAAAGGGCTGAATATAAAGTATACTTAATGCTCTTTTCTTGTTTTCAGGTTCGCAGTTCATCTGAAACACTAAGTGGCAAACACCTACAAAGTGATATAAAATACATTAAATTAGACATTAATGCGGTGTGACATATTTTGTGTTAGTAGTATGCTTTGTTTATAAATAATCGTGATTTATTTTTATTGGAACTGTAAATGTATTCATAATCATCCCTTTTCCCTTAACCAAATATCAGCTATGGAATCTCATGATTTACCTATTTATAGGTCCGTTTCTATTTTTTGTTATTACAATACATAAATGCCCAAGATAATGAATGTGTATATCTTATACTTTATAAATGGTTTATAAGATATGATTTCTATTAAGTTTGGTTGATTTTTTTATTTATTTAATTAATTTAGAACCTACTGCAGTTATTGCAGTTATATTTGCTCGTGCTACCATTCAGACTATATTTATATCACACTATCAAATACGGTACTGGTATCTGCACCCTGTGTGGCACTGGAGTGCGTAAATAGCATCACTCATTTCGCCAATGACGCGTAATACAAGTACTTTAACCCGTCCGTGTACTAGGCTATGGTCGTGGCGACCATTTTTAAGACGGTCGTGGTCCTTGCGACCACTTTGTGGTTAACGTCGCTTAGTGCGCTCGCACTAGGGTTAACAGTTCTGTAGAAAAAATAAATTATCTATTTTTTAAAGCAATGGTTCTTACTGGTCTCATGTGCTAGAATAGGTTCAGCAATATTCATAATAATTAAAAAAAAGAACATTTCATAGAGAATCTTACCCTATTTTTAGAAAACACTTCCATGTTCTTTAAAAATTGTTTCGATTTTTCTTAATATAATATAAGGCGTTAATTTCAATTTACAGATTGCAAATATTTCTATATAACGTCAATATATACTAAATAATGTATTAGCGGTGTCTGCATATTTATTATGAAAACATAAAGGTTTGACTTTTGTTTAAGTGTAAATTATAAAAGGGAATAAAATGACAAAAATATTTTAAGCTTTGTAAATGGCTGCATTTATTTTATTGGTAATGTTAAAGTGATACAAATATAGTTTTAGCCAATAAAATAATAAAATAAATTAATTGTACGCTTCATTCTCATATAATTTGATCCTCAATGGCTGATTTGTAGACATTATTTTAGGCATAACTTTGTCAGTGGAATATGTTTTGCATAATTTCAATTATATGAAATTATATAATTGAAAATATGCAAATAATATGCAAAAAATTGAAAATATTTATTATTATAAATCTTGCAGTAATCCTCGTACCTAATGTAAGGGTTTGATACTTGATTAAAACAATTATTTTTTCATATTTACGTTTGTATTCAAAGGTATCATTTTGTTTATTGTTTGTCGAAGTTGTTCCTATAGTGTCTACATAGCAATGTCTGACTTTCAATAAAATAACATAATATTGAATAAAATTAAAGATTGTAAATATTGATTAATAATAATTTATATTGGTTTCTTATGGTTTCTGCAAACATTGGATCGAGATTGGACCATGAAAGAAGACATTTAAGTCTAATGGTTCGGTAAACAATTGTCTAAACCAAATTAAATTGGTCCATTATGTTGGTCCAATGTGTGCTGGCCTTAGTGTGTGGTAGTTATATGAGAGTATATAGGTTTAGACGCCAACTTGATTTAAATTATTCTGTGTTACATAATGTTGGCTTATTATTGAACGTTGGGCGATTTCGAATGATTGCAATCACCGTTAATCGAACGTAAAATCGATTATATAATTCGTAATAATCGATTAATAAATTCGTCGTTAGTTATCTTATACTATTTTTTCATTAGTATTTTTGAATAACAACCTACCTTGTATGTATACAAGGGCTTTTAATTGTTTTTTGGGAAACCTCAGAACAGCAATTAAATTACCTAATCAAGGTAGTCAGATACATTGTGACACGTACAATATATGCTGTACAGATATTTTCTCTGCAATATGTCATAACTCAAGTAATAGCTATCGATGTGTCGTAATCGAATATTTGCAATCATTCATAATCGCGTAACTACACAATATGTTAGGCTATATTCAGAGACCGTGCACTTTTCTGTGACGAATCACAGAGTGTGTATTGCATTATGAAATTCAACTGATACCTTTTTGAAGAAAAAGGGAGTACTTAGTTGTTCAAAAACTGTTGATAGAATCCGTTCACTTCGATCTCACTGTAGCGTCATCGCGTAAGTTAACAATCATTGCACGACGTGCTTTCACACATTTGAGAAATTGTAAAAAATAATGTAAGTTTTATAGACGTAGTGGAATTAGCTTATGGTAGTCGAGAAAATTTAGTTTTTGTACAATTTTAATCCACTAGTTAGTGTTACACGACATTGATGAGATAGTTCGCGGGAACTATGCAGAAATATATTGTTTAGAAATAAAGTGTTTTCGAATGGATTAATTAAGAAAAATAGGTTTGACTCGCCTGTTGCCTATTTTCATTTAAAAATGTTGAATACTAATATGTATATTGTCACAACCCTTGTATCGGACCAAAATTGGTTGATATAAAAATATATATGACTTTTGGGATATTATAAGCCTAAAGAGTAATTTTTACAATATAGAAGGCACATGTTAAATTCAAAGCCCTGTAGCTTCTAACAATATTTATATGCTTCGATATCTGTGTTGTAAATTGCGTTTCGTTCTATTGTAGCATTATTTTTTATTAGGACGAGTTGAAGTATGTAGTTCATGTTGGTGACGCGAACGCTTGCTACGAGTGTGAGAACAAATGTGGTCGGAAAATAACAAACTAAATTTGTGAAGGTGACTTCATATATTTTTTAAAATCTATTTCGATTTGTTCCTTGACAATTTTGTGTTCGTGTCACACACGTGAAAACGTGCTAGGTGTGTAGCGACGTTTAGTCGGTCATCTTGTATTTCTAAACTATTTCCAAAATGTCCAACATGGATTTGAATTTATTTTGGAAGCAAGATGTATCAATTGTTCTTACGTTTAGTCTAAATAAGAACTGAATGCTAGCCTTAATTTTATTTATAATAAGTGCTAGGTTAATAAAAATGCTCTTTTGAGTTAGAAAATTGACATGTTCTTTTATTTAACACTGCGGTTCCGCTGTATCGTATCGTATATTTTACCCTTCGTGATGTCCCTTTAAATTTTTTACTGCTTTAATTTTTTATTCCTCTAAAATATTTTTTTCGGGTCACATAGAAAGAACCTAATATCCTAGTCATAATACTCTACCCACTAAAGAAGTTTATTATTATAATTGGTTCAATCCTTCCATAGACAAGCAGGTGCAAAAATGACAGACCTTTATCTGTATGGGATGTATGTATGGGATAAATTTTATTTATATATTTTCTATGAATTAAGAGTAATTAACTTATACTTGCGTAAATAGCGTACAAAAAAATTATTAAGATTGTTATTTATTATGAAATCTGACTGTGGATATTCCAAAAATTTAAGATATCTGACTAAAAATTAATTATTTAAATATATTTATTAACTAAAAAAACAAACAAAATGTGACTAGTTTCAAATTTTATTTATAAAACATTTAAAAGCTTAACAATCACTGTAAATTAAGTTTAGTAGTAACAATAACTCTAACATACTGGTCGTATGCGGTCGCTACGGCCAGACCCTGATGGTCTCTGTTCCAGTCTAATGCGTTGATCGGTTGAGAGCTGATCACCATCCGCTGTAATCTCTTCAATTTCCCTGCTACACCCACGGCTACTCCTTGAGCATCTACATGGTACCTTTGTTCTGGGTATTCACTAAAAATATATATTTTATTATGTTATTATTAGCTTTATAATTAATTGGGTATGTTATATAGATATTGTGTTAGCCATATAAATTTTAATATAAGAATAAGAATAAGAATCTTTATTGGACACGTTTTAAAGATTACAATTTACAAAATTATGTTCGATAATGACTACATTAGTTAAAACTGTGTCGTAGTCATTAACGCCCACCTCCAGATAAAAAAAATATACATTATGTTCCAATATAAGATTTAAAAGTTAAATTAATTTAAGATATTACTTATGATATGATGTATAGTGTGATGTGTGTGTGTGTATGAGTGTGTGTGGTGAGTGTGTGGTGTGTGTGTGTGTATGTGGTGTGTGTGTGTGTGTGTGTGTGGTGTGTGTGTGTGTGTGCATGTGTGTCAGCCATATAAAATGTACCTATTTTAGTAAGTTCTCGGTTTCCTCATATGTCAAGTCTAACAACCAAGCTGTAATTATATTTTTGCATACATGTAAGGTTCGGGGATATATATTAAGAACTTTGTTTATTTTGTTATATAAATTTGGGGAAAAGAAATCATAATGCTGTTTAGCCAAAGCCGATGTAATACGAATTGTTTTGCAAACTAAATCTGATCTGCGTTTATTAGAGATCATGTGGTAATCAAAAGGTGTTTGTGAGTGCTTACGTAGTATGGTTTGGAGTAAAAACAATTTTCTAACAGAAATTACTTTAGAAATTTTATACAGTTCGACAGTTGGGAAATATATAGGTTTAAAGTTCATTGTTTTGAGTATAGATCTTTGAGCCCTTTCTAAACGCAATAATATACTTTTATCAGTGCCTCCCCAGGCAGTGATGCAATATGATAAGATCGATTGTACGAGGGCATAATACACGTTCTTAAGTGTTGACAAGTCAACAATGTTTCTAAGTCTTTTAAAGACAAATATTAGTTTCCGAAGTCTATTGCAGGTAACTTTAATGTGTTCGTGCCATGAAAGGGTGCTATCAATGTATATGCCTAAATACTTGGTTCGATTGGTATTATTAATACTTCTGCAATTACAAGTGATATTTCTAGTGCAACTTGGATTATGAATAAAAATTTTAACGGGGGGAGACGGAAGAGAAATACTGCTAGGAGCAAAGGTTATAAAATTCGTTTTATCTAAATTTAAAGTTAAACTATTTTTGCGTAACCATTTATTGACAGCAGATAATGCAGATTCAGCGTATATTGTAACTTCAGCTCAATTTTTCCCGTTAACAAGAAGAATTGTATCATCGGCATATGATATTATTTTACAATTTTGTAAATTCAGTTTAGACAATTCATTTACATAAATGAGAAAAAGAGTTGGCCCAAGGACACTGCCTTGAGGTACTCCAAAATCTATATTTTCCCCTGCCCTCATAACACCATCGATAACAACGCATTGTGAACGATTTTCGAGGTAGCTCTTAAAAATATCATTTGCAACTCCTCGTACACCCACCTGGTGTAATTTCTGAAGAAGGTTAGGGATGGAAACAGTGTCAAATGCTTTTGTTAGATCCAAAAATATACCAATAGTTTTTTCTTTCTTAGTGAAATTTTTTACTATAGTATTTGTTAAGTCCAAAATAGCATCTTCTGTAGATTTACCACTCCTAAAGCCATATTGGTTAGCCGCAATGATATTATGTTTATTTAAATACTTAACGAGTCTAGTATTTAAAAGTTTTTCAAATATTTTAGATAACGTAGTTAGAATCGAGATAGGCCTGTAGTTACTGACAATGTTTCCATCACCGCCTTTATGAATTGGGTGAACCAGAGCTTTTTTTAAAAAAAAACACACACAAAATACCTATTTTTTCGGGAATTTTTCTAATGTTATAATAGTTATTTTGCTATTATCTCCAAATCCAACAAATCAAAAACCATGAAAATCGGCCCAGCAGTTCTCGAAAATTGTTATGACTTATGACATGGAGTTAACATATTGTTATGACAAAAAAATAGTACATTACGTTTGTTTGATTAAATATATAGATGGCGCTGATCCGCAAAATGTTGAATTATTTTATGTAGTAAAACTAACTCTATCAAGTCATAAAAAATGGCATAATATATAATGCCATCTATTGACTTTTATTTTAACTAAATTTTGTTTTTATAGTACGATTATTGAATCTTTTCAGGAATAAAAACAAAATAATATTAAAATTTGGAGAAAATATTCTATAACATACAGTTTGGAAGACATGAATGATACTATAAGCGTTTTTCTTTCATCATTTGTTTGGATCATTTATATAACAAAATCTTAAGCATTTATGTCTTAAAACAACTATAAAGTTAAAAGAAATATATTTAGTAGAGGAATGGCTTTGACTTTAAATTGCTGATTTAGTTTTTTTTTCCTCCATCACTTCACGCATCATACCAAAGTTATTGGACTAATTTTGTTTTTTTTTTATATTTTAAATCTTTTCATTAGACTTAGAAACTAGCGTAAGATCGAATTCGCTAACGTCTTCGTTCGTATATAAAGTACTAATACTTTATTGCGTCACAGCAACTTTTTTAAATTAAATAAGAAAAAAAATTAAAATACAAATGTTTATTATTTCACCCAAAGAAAACATGCTTATTTATAAAAAATGTCTATCTGCCTGTCCCTATGTGCTCTTATCATTGATCAGTTGATTGCTTGCCCATATATACATATTATTTTTTTGACCAATTTCAAAAAGGAGTATCTAACTTAACTGTATGTATATTTTTTGTATGTTAGGTAGGCGATGTCATCTCATTTGTGGAGTGATTTTCATAATTTTTCGAAATAGGGATCTTGCGTTAAACGAAGGATAGTTACTTATAAGTGATTTTGTAGTTGGTGTACCCTTTTTAGTTAAAAACTAATTTTTAAATACGTTAGACGTTAGCATACTTTAAGTGTATGTAATGTCACAAGGGTTCTCTACCAATTTTGGTAATAAGAGTTCAAAAAGTCATTAATACTTACTATTTCCATAATGAGACCTGTCCAGTGCCAGCGCAACTCATAAATAAATCACGATTTTGTGGAATGTGGCGCGCAACCCAAATAGTACCACTTTTTGACGAATTGTCCAAAACCTACGAATTTAAATGTAAAGGTAAAGGAATGATGAGTGGTTTATGTCAGAAAAAAAACATTTTAATATTTTTTTTATTAACAGCACATACACTAAAAAGTATTTTTTTCGAAGATTATTCTATGTACCAAAATGTTTAATTAATCATATCCATTAATAATATTTTTTTATACTGATATACTACTATCATAAAATTATTTTATTTACAATTGTCATAAAAAAATGTAATTTCCATATGACCTATATCCAAAACGGTTATTTTGATATAATAAGAAGTAGAAATGCTCAATATTATAATTTACGATTGAAAAAAAATTAATACCTGAGCAAATCCTTTTGTGGGATTTTGAGTCCTCAAGTCAAAAACATGAAATTTGCCCTCCAATGTGGTGGCAACTAATTTGTTCATTGGTATATCTTTCCGATCAAATTCAGCAGAGCACACCTATTAGAGTTAAGCAACATTATAAGATGCCCTTTATAATGCAATATTTATAACAATGTATTCTTGCATTTTTCTATATTATTTGTTTTTCTATATGATAAAAATTATTTTCATCTAACACATTATCTAATGGAACATACCCCATTTTTCAAATTACATTCCCATCTCAATGACATAGTACGCAAATCAAACATTTTAAGGTCTCCATTATCATAGCCTGCTACCACAATTCTTTCTGCGTCATTAAAAGAATTGCCAAATGCTACAGTCCAACAATCTCTCTTAGTTTCACCTTGAGCAGGATGTATATTTGCTACTGGCTTTCCTCTTTGACGAGGATCCCAAACCTTAACAGTGCCTATTTGGAAATGATGAAATAAATATAATATTTATAAAAATTGAGTTTATTACAATATTCAGTTTATCATAAGCAACTCGTGTTTTATAAATTATATAACATCCTTAATATAAAAAGGTAAATAAATATAACATATAGATATCACAAAATAAATTACCATCTCTACTGCCGGTAACTAATTCAGGTGCTCCACAGTTCATAGCATTTCCTCCCATACCATCTATAGAGTTAATAATATCTTCATGTTCTTTAGTAATATACACTTGACAACTTTTTTCAAGATCCCTGAAATATATACCTATTATAGGTACTAAAATAATATTAAGTTGCATTATTTTAGTTATAGAAAAAAAATCTTCCTTTAAAAATGCTATAATAACCAAATTTAAATAGAGGAACAAACCATATTTCCAAAGTGCCCTTGAAATCACCTGTCGCAAGCCGCCGTTCTACATCACTGCTTGCTCCAAAGGTACCGCACTTAAAAGAATTAGGTCTTTCGATTTCTTTTACCTTTTTAAGTTCACCAGAAGTAATTTCGAAAATTTCTAATGTACCGTTTCCTTTGGGCAAGGAACCAATGACAATAAATTTTGCGGAACATGGAACCCATTTACAATCAAAGAGACAGTGGTTTAGATTATGTTCTATATGCGTAATAATTTGAGGAGTATCTTGATTTTCCATTGTTAGAGTAAAAACGAGAAACGACCGAGTACGTTTAGTCATAACCTATACAATAAACAATTTTTGTTGTTATGGTAACCACTGGTAACAAAGATTAATCTGCTGAGTGCTGACTTCTGCTGTCAAAATAATATTCACAGATTAATTACGGAGACTATCTCTGTTTTCCAATTATAGAGCATAATGCCGTACTTTGGCGCATAATGCTAAAGTGTGCTAATGCTTAATTGGAACGTGAATTCGTTTTTCAAGTGCACCAGCAGAGGGCACTAGGTTAAGCGTTGAAAGAAAAAAAATATAACTAACTAAATAATATATAATAATACACCATATCGTTGATATTATAAGTTATATGATAAACTAGCAACGCACCCTCGCATCTCTCGGGTTCGTCCATAGCGTGCTTGCCAATACAAACTTTCATCCCCATTTTCACGCCCTTAAGGGATGATTTCCGGGATGAAAACTATCCTATGTCCTTCCCAGGGTCTCAAATTATCTTCTTACCAAATTTCATCTAAACCGGTTCAGTAAATCCAGAGATTACTCACCTACAAGGTCACAAACTCTTTATAATATTAGTATAGATATATAATAATATATAACTAATTAATATATAATGATGTTATATATAAATAAAATATAAACAAATATTACTAACGATAATTTAAATAAAATTATGATCAACCACCACCACCTTGAAGAAAAAACACTTCTCATATTTTCTTTTATTGAGTTGGTATCCTTGCGTGGATCACGCCAAAGCAGTAGGTACTCTTCAAAATGCGTAGTTGGAATATCGGAAGTTAGCATTATGTCGCATAATGCACTTTAGTGCTCTAATTGGAAAACGGTATAACTAGGACGAATCAACATGACTCTTGGCTCGAATAACGTTTGTGCAATGTATAGTTAATAATGTAATAAAAACCGACTTCCAGGCACTAAAATGTAAAAAATAACTAAACGGAGGTTTTCACTTAGAATAGATACTTAATCAGATATTTTCGAAGTCGGTGAAAGCCTACAATATTTTAAGATATGATTATCTAATGGGTAAATATGTACTTTACGTATCGAAATCGCTGGTATCAGGGCCGGATTTAGGGGAGGGCAACCGGGTCTAGAGCCCCGGGGCCTCCACAAGAGAGGGGCCCCCATAAAAGAAATTAAAATAAATCAAATTCTGACTGGCGACAACTTTTTCGTTTTTATTTTTTTTTTTTCAATTTTTTTTCTCACTTTGACCTATAATACTTGTACAAATGTGATTATATTATTCTTAAATATTAAAAACAAATATTCGTTCACCGCAGTTCATCGCAGTCATGTAAAAAGAGGTTAGAGAGGGATTATGATTAATTAATTATAATCATGCGTTTTTTTGGTTCTTCGTGAGTTTATTTATTTTATAATTTTAAGTTCTGCAATATTATCATCAAATGTGCATCCACTCAAAAGTAATATTTTCCTATATCTACTCCATAGGCTTAGGTAGTTAACTAAAGGTAAACAAAGAACTCATGGGGACTTAACCTTTTATTACAAAAAATTGAACTCATATTGTCAACTAGCGAATTATCCTCGCTTCGCTTTAATGCATCCCTAGGTATGCGGATTTTATTTACAATTTCATGGGTTTTAATTTTTTGTTCGGAAACCTTTATTTTTTTCTAAAATAAAAGTAGCTTGAGTTACTCCTTATAATATCAGCTATCTTCCAGGGAAAGTTCCGTCAAAATCAGTCCAATCGTTTCGGAGATTAGCCGGAACAAACAGAAAGTTTCAATTTTATTAACCTGTAGTTATAGATAAAATAATTGATGTAGAGTCATACAAATTTATGTACAATATAAAATTTAAATTGATGATGTATGTTATGGACGACGAGTCTAGACGATGGCAGAATCTAGCTTGAGTCACGTCCCTTTAATGTACAATACGATAAGAATTTAGACTCACTCTAATAAGATTGTTAACTAGAAATGAAAAAACGTGGTTTTGCTCATTGTGCACCATTCGTCGGATAGCCATAGAAGAGGCAACTAGCACGAAAAGCTAGGAAGGAAAAACTCCTTTTGATTGGAGTTTCATTATGAAACCCTTAAATACAGTCCACCATATTTAAATTTTTACTAATTCCCATATAGTATATCATGTTAAAACAAGTGAACAAGTTTGGATTATATGCTTTTGCTAAATGTTGTTTTTATAGATGTAATATAGATGTTTGCCTTTTTTGCTTAATTTAAAATTAACTTTATCATAGATTATTTATGCTTGCATTAAGTCTATAACTTATATGGTAATTTTAAAGGGTAATATAAGATTTTTATCCATAACTAGCGGCTCACCCGCACTTCGCTCGGGTTCGTCGCTAGGTACGTTTTAAATAGATATAAATAGTTATTAGTCAGCGTTAACCATATATATATATTTTTTTTTTGGTAATAATATTGACAAATATTGACTTTAATATTTATACGATACTAACGTCACTCAATTGCTTTGCCTTCCCGGAACCTCTCCACCAACATTTAAACTTTATGGTATTAAAGTTCAAATTGACTTTTAAGTATTATTACGAATCTTTTGTATGGGAGTATAGAAAAGTGTTGTTTATAGACTTTTTCAGGCAATTTTTTAAATTTCTCTCTCCGTAAGAACCATCCTCGTACTTTAAGGAATATTCTAAAAAAAGAATTAGCCAAATCGGTTCAGCCGCTCTCGAGATTTGCGCTTAGCAACACATTCAGCGATTCATTTTTATATTATAGATAATAAAAAAGCATTAATGTTCAGCGAAATCATCAACGATTTTTCATCGATAAAAGCTCACAATGTTCCATTCATTAACACTGTAATTTAATTCTGAATAATTCTTGCATTTGACTATATCTACATATATTTATTGAAAATAATTTCATTTGTGAATATTGTGAATACTTAAAACACTTGACTAAAAAATTGTTTATTTTATTCGGAAAATAATTAGGGGCCTCCACTCCTTTTTTGCCCCGGGGCCTCCACACCCCTAAATCCGGCCCTGGCTGGTATTATATATAATAATAGTTAGTAAGAACAGCACAATATTCGGCAGTACGGTACAAAATTACGGTGAAGGAAAACATCACGAGGAATCTTGCATGTCTGATAGAACGTAGTAAGTTTTCAAAAGAAGTGCAGTCCGCCAACCCTCACTTGGCCACCGCAGTGGGCTATGGCTTGATCCCTCTCGTATTGAAGGGAGGTCTGGGGCCAGCCGTGGGACGTTAAAAAGGGCTGTATACTTAATTTATTATTATTAATATTTATAATATATTTTTATGTTATTGATACAATTGTTGGTTTCCTTCTACCTAGTATAATATTATATGATCTGTGCTTCAAGTAAGTAGAGTATATTTATTCATATATTTATACTGAATCATAATTTTTAAACTTTAGTTGATTTTGTTTGTATTTTTTAAGTTTGTTTCATAAATATATCTATAAGTGATGTTTTTGTCCAAAATAATCGGTTGGGCGTGATAACATTACAACTATGATTTTTGAACCAATGAAATGACAAACAACTTAAGATAAACCTTTTGATTAATATTAAAGATAGATGATGTAAATTATGTACGTAACTTATTTGACAATGTACAATTAATAAACAAATCTATCCCACGAGAGCCGTACATTTTTTCGGGATAAAAAGTAGTCTATTTGTTATTCTGATGTATGAACTATATTATTATAAAGTTTCATTAAAATCCAATCAGTAGTTTTTGTGTACTAAGTTGTATAAGTTTCTATAGTTTTTTAACTATCTCACGGGTACTCTTTAATTTTCCGGGATGAAAAGTATCTAAAATGTTGACCGGGGATATTTTATATTTAGGTAAATAATATATTTCATTTAAATCGGTCCAACAGTTTTGGAGATTAGCCCGTACAAACAGACTAACAGATAGAGAAACAAAAAAAAATAAAAAAATCTGGCTTCGTTCTATTTCTCTTCGTATATCTCCCTGACTCGGTTCTTAGCATTTTTTTTCTATGTACAGATATTCGACCTCTACAGTTTTATTATATGTATAGACACGGTAATGTATAACATTACCGTGGTATAGATAAAACATGATAAAGGAAATAGTTATATTATTATTCTCTATCATCAACGTAATTAAGTTTTTCCGAATGCACCGACTATGAATTGTAGTTCTTGAATGAATGTATATAATATATAATTATCATAACTATCATTCACGATATCTGCGATTACTGCGTTATGCCAATAAAGGTTGTCCCCAGTTTTGATAACAATTTAACTTTCCCCCCAAACTTGCCGGTGGCTGTGATAAGGGTTATGTGTCTTCTGTCTTGTAAATTGTTGTCTGCATTGTGTTTCAGCCGTCGGTAGTTAAAGACGGTTCGCGATGCTTCAGTATCTAACGTCAGTTTACATGATACTCCATTAATAGCGCCATGTATTACCATATAGTTAGTGAGCTATCGGAGTCCTTTTTTTTTTTTTTTTTAACGTTGGGAAATGCATTTAAGCACGACGTGTGGGACTCACCGGCGTAATACAGCCAGTACTACCCACTAAAACCCAACAAAACCTTCCCCCGTCTTAATGGGGCGTCGCAGGATCGCTTACGCATTCAACTACGACGCCCCGACGGCAGGTCTGCCAAAGCAGACCACCACAACCATGGGGTTGCTCCAAGGTCCACTCTGCTATCAGAGAAGTACCAGGAGCAACCCGCAAGGTACACGGCCCCCCGAAGAGGGCCACCTCCCACCGCCCACCGAAGTGGGCAACCTCCCTGTGCGTTTCTTAGCTTCGCTACTACTACTGAGCCCCCCCACCACGACAAGGTGAACGCGCGTTGGGGGGGGGGAGCTATATATCTTTTGCTATTTTCAGCGGTTTTCTTGAAAAGCGAATCAATGATCGAAAGAAAAATGCTAATAAGCCGCTAGGTTCTTTTTCAGGCGCAACCTCAAAATCGTAGTCGATGACATGCTCTAAAACTATAACCATCAACGCTGGTGTACCCCAAGGCTCAAGGTATATACAAGTTTCGAAGAAATCGATACGTCGTACTACTTCTCTAGTTACTTTAATGTACGATTTTAAGTTCTACATAAAGCGACATAACCAGTGTTCCGAACTTGAACACTGGTTGTGCAAATAAGTAGTCCATTTTTACACGTACTAACAAAATATAGATAAGGTTAAGTCAGAGAGTGCGATGGGTACGACTTCGAAAATATTTGATTAGATCTATTCTAAATGAAAACCCCCGTTTAGTTATTTTTTACATTTTAGTGTCTGGAAGTCGGGTCTTTTAAGTTTTTATTTTTCCAATTTTAGTATAGGCGTAATAAGCAGGTAATTTGTAAGAAGAAAGTGAATTAATAATTTGAAGAAAGAATAAACAATTTAATTAAAAAAATAATTTGTTGTTGATTTTTCAACCTTTAAAATAATAAATTCCAAATCGGTTCAGACGTCTTCGAGTAATCGGTGAATATACATAAATAAAAAGAATTGAGAACCTCCTCCTTTTTGGAAGTCAGTTAAAAATGGAGAAAAGATTTTGTATATTCCTTGGGGTGGGTTTACTAAGTAGAATGAAAAAGTATTGTTTTTAACACTTCATTGGTAATTTGCTAAATACATGGTATTGGATTTTTTTACACTATTCTTTAATATTATCTAAAATCCATTTCATGTATTTAGTAATATCCGTATACACTCCCGGCGATGCAGAGCCGCACTCCTCCTGGCCGTAGGACACGATACCGTATTGAATCATGCGGTAGTCGTCTTTATAGTCTTCAAACAGCATAAGAGGACCTCCAGAGTCACCCTTACAGGAATCTTTCCCGACTTCACCAGCGCATAAAACCTTAAAAGTGTGGTCTTGTGGGTCAGAGTATCTGTTAATATAATTAATGTAATAGTTTGATTTTTGAAATATATCCCAAATTTGCTTATAAAATTAGAACAAACATAAAAAAATAATAATTAGGTTTACCTTTCTAAGTATTCAGTACAATAGGTTTCTGCCTTAATTGGTACAATTACTTTATGTAGAATATTTGACCATTTTCCGGTTTCTGTAACACCCCACCCTGCGACTGTAGCTCGCTTCCCACTGAGACTAACGTTACGGGCTTCTTTCCACACCGGTAGACAAATCGGCTTGACATTTTCTAAAACAAAAGAATACAGGATTTTTCAGTGATTTTCCTTAAAAATTAATAATTGATTAGTGAGTGGATTTATTATAGATAAAATTGAAATTTTTTATTTATGCTTTTGATTTTATTGTTGGAATGGAAATGACTAGAAAAATGAATTTAGATGGCATTCATATTTTAAAAAATTGGAATAGTCCTTAAGTTATTGCTAACATTCTTCCAAGGCTTGTTGGCGCAGTTACTTGGGCATAGGTTTTAGTCTAAGTGCCAAGGGTAATCTTAGTAAATAAAAAATATGTACTCGGTATATATAATCGAAAAAATTTCCTCATAAGATCAATCTTCTTAATAATATCTGTGCCTCCTGTGATGAGTGATATAAGTCGAGTTGTACCCTTTTTGTGATTTTTACATAGAAATAATCAGAAAAAAATTAGGATTTTTTTGGTCTAACTCACGGTCTTCTATAGATATTATAGTTTCGGAGATAATTTTGTGCAAAGTGATATAAGTGGCAGTGTTTTTGCAAAAATATCGTGAATATAGATATATTTCAAGTTTTAACCCCTATAAGTAATTGCCGCACACACTATTTTTCGTGCTTCGTGGTATAAGTGCGATTGTATTAATTTTCACAGTTTGTTTTTTAGTAAATTTATCGTGAATATTGATATTATTAGAGTTATATCACTTTGAACAGATTTTCTCAATACTGATTAGGGTACAATTCAACATGTACCTACTAATCCTAATTCTGTACAAATCAACCTTTATGTGTAAACGAATATAAATTGAATTGTATCTAAAACTCAAAGAAATCTAAATCAAAAATGACGTACTAAATGATACAAGTGCTGGGATACACCTATAAACTTTTAACTTTAGTGGTTTTGGGATTTGGTTTGGTTTGGTTTTGGGTTTTATGATGGTATGCAATTTTTTTCGCGATTTTGGAGCAGTGATTTTGCATGAAGTTGATCCTTCAAAAATAATTATGATGAGCGCGTGGACTGTCAAGTGGTTAGTCGTCTTTTACGACACCCTCGGAATGTAGGATTGGTGACTTTCAGTATTCTCAATCCGTCACCAGTTAGTAGTTGCCGAACTGAATCAGATGGTGTACCTTCTTACACACATTTTTATTATCATTTCCGAAATCTCGAATTGCTAAAATTATGGATTTAGCCACTAGTCACATGGCGAACATGAGTTCACAAGACCATATTGAAGCTTAAATTGAACGAACAGAACAAAATAATAATACCAATTAAGACGGCTATGGATATCATGTAAGAGAACTTATTGAAGGATCGCTGCCAGTAAAACCTATAGAAAGTCCAGTCCCTACTATCCACGAACACAAAAATTCAGAAAAATCTGCAGAGAATTTAACAGAAATGGTTATTAACAATAATAAGACAAATGAAACAAATGACAATGATTCCAAAACCCCTATGATGATTTGAACCTTACAGATTCATCTAGCAATGGTGATTTTGTGACGCACGACATGGCCACACCACCTCAGAAGATGCTCTTCAACTGAACTTGACTGTGACGTGAAGCTCAGGAGTGTGTTGAGATAGCGCTGCCCAGCAGTCGCCTCCGTATAAAAGGACTGGTCGGATGATGCTCTTGTTTATGTGTTCCTTGAACTTGGGCGGTATTCTGCGATCAATAAATTAACCACACCTGTGACCTCCAGCTTCCCTTATACAGGCTTAAACGTCGTGATCTTTGCTTCGTCGTGATCGATGCTTTCTGAATTTCTTCGACTTAACGGCTGGTTCAAGCCCTATGTGGATGGTGCTGGAGTCCGGACTCCCGCAAGCCTCGGTCTTCACGACATTCAGTTTGACAACGCCGTTCTCAAGCGTACCCTTCCACAGGTTCACCCTACGCTCCAGCTCTACATGGCTCTTCTCAACGAGCGCTATATCATCGGAATATATCATCAGCCATGGAGGCTGGTCCTAGATTCATGCCGAGACAACATCTAGTACTACGTTGAATAAGAACGAACAGTTCTGACCACGGAACCACCGCCTTTTTATCTAGCTTTTGTGAAACTATATTAGCTCCCATTGAGAATAGTTAAGTTACATTCGTATTCTAAAATGATGGTGATAAGATCTCAATTTATCGCTCTTAAGAATTTTGATAAAACTGTGCCTTATTTGTAAGTGAATTATTGATTTTGAAAAAGTTAAATACTCGATGATTGTTTTCTAAAACTTTATTTAGACAATAAATATGCATTTTAGTGAGGGGTATAACTTGAGTTGTATTATTTAACACATAATTCAAAAATCCAATATTTTAGAAAAGTGATACAATTCAGCTAAAATATGAAAATAGGGGACTGATAAGTAAAAAAATGTCATCTTTGGGGTAGTATACTTATCATTTGTTTGAGCAACATTGCGCTAGGAACATATTCCAATGAGTTATTAGATATTTTTACTTCATGTATATCAATTTACACAACGACAACTTATAGGTGCAACATAATTTAACTGTACTTGTACCATTTATCACGTAATTTTAGCATGTACTAGAAATAAAAAAAATAAAAAAACTCACAACTTTTTCAATAGTTACTTTAAAACTATAATATTTACCGGAAAAATTTAAATACACAGTGAAAGTGAATGTTTTTATCAACAAAATAAGGTACTCAAGTTTAACCTAGCCCACTTAGAACGCGAACTAGAAATTTTTAAATCTTGTTTTTGCTCTCCTGTAAAATGTTGATTTTTGACTTGTATCACTTGTCACAGGAGGCATAGATATATATACCTAATTCTAAAATAGGCGCATAGTCGTCGAGTTGCGGAAAACAGTCCGAACATACCATACCATACCATACCTAATTCTTCTGTACGTGTGTTTGTTAACCTACTCCTCCTAAAGGACTGGACCGATTTGGATGAAATTTTGTGTGTATATTTCAATGGGCTCCTGGATGGATTGTAAACACAATTGGACCCGGTAGGTGGCGCTGCAGTCGGTGTGTCACTGATCATCTCCTAAACGGCAGGGACGATTTTAGTTATATTTTTTGTGTATGTGTAAGTGGGTCAATGCAAGGTTTGAAAACACAAATAGACACAGTAGGTGGCGCTGCAATCGGTGTGCCACTGATCATCTTCTAAACGGCAGGGACGACTTTAATGATATGCTTGTGTGTGTTCGAGTGAGTCCCTGCAAGGTTTGAATTCACAAATGGATCCTCTAGGTGGCACTAAATTTTCATAAAAGACTCCATTTTCCGAGCAATAAATAAATTTAAATTGTTGATTAAATAAAATAAAAATCTATGTGTGTATGTATGTTTCGTATGGACTCCAAACAGCTGGAGCGATTTTGATGAAATTTTCAGGTAATCTTCAGATTAGCCCTGCGGGAGATCCTGTGAATTTTGCTGTGAAGCAATAACGCAAGTTGCAGTGAAATAAAATAATGTAAATTATTAAAAATATTTAACTATCTTTTTAATTGAAACATTTGTATTAATATTCTTTACCAGGGTGTTAGATCAAAACTAATAAAATAGATTTATACATTATAACTAAATTTTACAATACTCACTAAACGAAAAATCGATTTCTTTGTTAACTCGGAGTATTGCAATATCATTTATGAGTCTCGGGCTTGTGCTGTACGCCTCGTGAATTGTTGCCTTTTCCACACGGAGATCCTAGGATATATTATAATTTAAAAAAAATACACATTTGTTACTCAAGTCAAAGATGCCATGCTTAGAAATTACATGTTACATAAAAGAGTAATGTTATTTCAAAACAAAACTAGTATTAATTTTAACTGAAGAGATCTCTATACCTGCAAGTGACTTTCGCAAACATAATTTGGCCATTCTCCTTGACAATCTGTAAGTGAATGGATGTTATATTCACCGACACGTACACCCGCGATTTTCTTTTCATATACACAGTGTGCGGCAGTCAAAATATATCTAGAGCTGATTATTGTTCCCCCGCAATTAAATCTTCGTTTTTCTATACCTACAGGATAACATAAGGGAGTAAAAAATATTTATGTCTCCAAACTTCCATAATATTTATAGTTACCTATATAATTTCAATACCATTGGAATCTTTCTCAACATGAGAGATAAGTGCCATCCACGGGAATTCGTATATGCCTGTAAAATTTCCTCCATTTAAGCGGTCGTCAAACTGCTTGCCACAATTTTCCGGAAGTAGGCCTATATTAGAGTGATTATCAATGTTGTTTTCAGTTTCCACTGTTTCATTATACCGCACAGTTACATTCAGAGCAAAATCAGAGCAGCAAATCTATATAAATTAAAAGGTTAAAGTAATTAATGAATAGATTAGTTTATCAAAAAAAAAAAACAAAGAAATATACTTAAAAAGTTAATGACAGTTACAAGTATCGATATGGTTATGGTATTACGGTTTTAAGAACTACCGACCTACAATATCTCTCCTAAGCCATGTGTATAAGTTGATTTAGAGGGTTATCATCTACGAATAAATAATAAATCAGGAAATGTAACTGCGTTAAAAAAATGATCCAACAAAAGTCGTGTCCAAGTAGGCAGGGCTTAAAAGTCGTATCCAGCGCGTCATCAGTGGGACATTATTTGTGCAAGCGAATACATGTCAAATTTTCGCGTACGTTTATTTTTATCATTTTGAACTTCAGCTGTGAATCATCATGCCAGCATGTTTTGTGAAGTAGTGCAGGAGCCATACAATATTAAAATGTCCAGGAATCACTTTACACTAGTTAGTAGCAAAATTATAATTATATTTCTTAAAAGAAAAGATGTTCTAATGACAAATACGTTGTCAAATTGAGATGGCCAATACTATGCAAAATGAAGTCAATCAATTTTTGAGCTAATTTAGAAAGTTTTTTTTCTTCTTGATAAAATATTGAAATGAAAATCGATAAAATTTAGTTATTTTATGATAGTAATGTATTTTGCTTATTTTGTTTTCTTTTAGTTTCCCTGCCGATTCAATTCGGCAAAAGAAGTGGATAGCTGCAGTAAGCTAGAAAGGCAAGAGTATGACTGGGTGCCTGTGAAAACCAGCAGAGTGTGCTCCGTATTGACAAAAAAAATTTTACAAAAAATACCGCAGTACCACCTTGTACAATAAGTACCTACTATTTTACTATTAAAATAATTACGTTATTATATCAAATCTGAAATTGAGCTGTTTTTAGACGCAGATGATTCGTCCCGAAGAAACGTCGACATCTTTAATAGATACTACAGAAAATGAAAAAATAAACAATAATGAACGATTACAGTTGACATGTAATGTAAGTTCGGTTTTTTCGGTCTGAGAAATCTATACTGAAGGCACCGACTCAGGTGGTATGCTTAAATGCATTTCCCAACATTAAAAAAAAAGAACGTCTTCGATCAGCAATGGACGACGGTTTTCTTCTTTCATTATTTACATCTATGAAACTATTGGAAAAGAGACTTCACGTGTTATATCCATAAGTAATAAGTATTGAAGTCATAATATAGAACACCTCTAAAGATATTTAAGTGAGATTGGCTGCTCTATTAGAAAATCGGTTAGCAGGATATTAATATGTTATGTATCAGTAGAAAATAAGTTATACACGTAGATATAACTAGCATCCCGAAACGAAATTACTGGCTTAAGTTTATATTTTTAGGTGAGATCCTTACCATAAATGATTTACTGCCGTTATCTCTTTCTTTTATTTCACATAATGACTTTAATAATTTCTCTCTTGATTCCTCTTGAGACCAATTCCTCACATCTGGACACAGGCGAATGTCCATGCAATCGCTGCATGATTCTATTTAATATAAAGTATTATAATAATCTATACATATAATAAAACAGTAACTTTAGTTTGTGGGTACATTAAATATTTTTTTAAAACAATGACTGTAACGTATTATACACACAATATAGACCCCAAAACAATAGTTATTTTTTTTTGTGTCTATATGTCTGTTTATATGTGCGCGTTTCACACAAAAAGTAACGAACCGATTTCAACGTTTGGTGAAGTGATAATTCGTTACTCGGTTTAACATTTAGGACACATTTAAAATTCTTCATGTCTATGGGAAAACACAATAACTGGTTCTATCGAGTCGTCCTTAGAAATTTAGATGACTAACGCTGGCTAAGCCTTAAGAGATTCATCAAAATAATGTACTAAAAAATTATAGTTCTTAAAAAGGCCTACAGAAAAGCCTGCAATAGTATATGTTTATGTTCTAAGGTAGACTCGCAATTACTATTTTTTATATATATAATAAAACAGTAACTTAGCGAAATCGATTTGCGCGTTTTACACAAACGACAAACACGATTTTGTGTAGTGATAACTTATTACTCGGATACTTTTTTTAGGATACCTTTTACTATAGGAAAAAAAATCATTCCCAGGAAAAACACAATAACTGGTTCTATCGAGTACCCCTTAGAAGTTTATATGGCTAAAGCTAGCTAAACCTTAAGAGATAGATCAAAACAATGTACTAGAAAATGATAGGACTTAAAAAGGCCTACAGAAAATTCTACAATAGTATATGTCTATCTCCTAAGTTACACTCGCAATAACTCTTTATAATAATATAAAGTATATAAATAATAGCGACAAAAACAAATCTATCCCACGGGAATCGCACATTTTTTCAGGAAGATATATAGCCTATCCTCAATAAACGGGCTATCTAATGTAAAAATATTTTTTCAAATCCGATTAATAGTTCTTGAGATTAGCGCGTTCAAGCAAACAAACAAACTCTGCCTCTTTATAATATTAGTAAAGATTAATTTAAATTACGATTTCTACTTTAACATCTAACTAATACTTTTATGTATCTACTGGAAAAGATATAAGCTACTATAAATAAATATGTATTCGGCGATATCAAATGAAAAAATATGGTAACTTTAATTACCTATAGTGTAATGAGTAAATTCACAGCTCATTCATGTCAAATGTATAGGCACATATAGGTACAATGTACATGCATATAAAATTTTATATTATAATGGACTAGCTAGATACATTCAGTATAGTTTATACTACACTTTAGTGTTAAAAGTAAATCTAAACTCTTAAAGTGTAGTATAAACCTACAGCTACACAAATAAATAAAATTGAAGTGTCTGTTTGCCATTTCAAAATAATAGCTTATTACTAAATGCACATGAAACTATATACCCTTTTTTTTGTCTGTCTCTTTGTTCCGGCTAATTTCCCGAAACTGCTAGACAGATTTTGACAGGTAGACAGCTGATGTTATAAGGAGTAACTTAGGCTACTTTTATTAACCCCCGACGCAAAAAGAGCGGTGTTATAAGTTTGATGTCGATGTCTGTCTGTCTGTATTGTGTGTCTATCTGTGGCATCGTGATGATGATGATGGACCAATTTCGATGCAGTTTTTTTCATTTGAAAGCCAGTTTCCTTGCGATGGTTCTTAGCTATGTTTGGTTAATATCGGTCAAGTAGTGTAAGAGTATCAGCTCTTTTCCAAAATGATGTAAGGCATTTTGGCGTATGATTACTTGATTAAGTGCTTCACACGTGCCATGAAAATTAATTTACATAATTAAATGACAATTAATTTGTGTAGGGGATTTTTTTAAATAAAATAGAAAAAACTCGCCGGTGCGCATGCGATTCCCCGCGTCGATTAAGCACGCCGAATCGAGTCGAAACGCGTCTAATGGACGCAGTTTCATAGTAAATATATAATAGGAGGCGAATTTCTGCGGTTCGACTGGCCTCGATTCGGCGACCTAGTGGACGCCAGGCATTATGGGTAGGTACTTTCAGAATGGTTCAAATCACCTTCTAGTACAAAAATTCAGGCTTTTGTGATAAATATCGATTTTAGAGCTTACTTGATTAAACTATCAATATCAAATTATTAGTCTTAATAGTCTGGTGTAATTAATACTGTCTACATTAATTCCACCAATATATTTTTTACAATAAAATATTTGTAAACACACGACATATATTTAAAATATATCTAGGCTATACTATATATTATATCATCCCGGAAAATGTACGGTCCCCGTGGGATAGATTTGTTTTTGTCTAGGGACGAACCCGAAGTGAAACGAGGGTGAGTCGCTAGTCACTACATAGTCCCTATGTACTTATTCTTAGATCTTTAAAACTACGCAACGGATATTGATGAGGTTTTTTTAATAGTGTGATTTTAAGAGGAAGGTTTTAGTATATAATTTGTTAAGTTTTTGTATACATTGGCTAAAATATAACGATATTTGTTGGTGTCAAAAAAAAAATAAGCCGTCTGGGAGATTTCAACGAAAACCCTGCCTAAACCCTTTGAGATACAACAAAATAATGTATGGTGGAATTGTGTATCTTTTATAGGTCTACAGAAAAGTCCGCGATGGCATATATCTATTTCTTAAGGATAACATACTATATCCATTTTAACTTAAAACGTGCCTTTATTATATTATTTATATAAATTTTCAGTTTAATATAGCTTACAAGTGTTAAATATTATTAGTAAGATATATCAATACTTACTCATGCCATAAGTGAATGCACAGTTGTATAGAATTAATAAATAAACAGTTAATTTAACCGCCAACATTATTCACGTAATGAAATTTACATTTATTACGAAAGAAAATACGTGTGCTCAATACTACACAACATATTTTATACAAATGTACTGCTAACGCTGTTTAAATGTTACCACCACTGTTTAATTTACCTACTTACTGATAAGGATAACCTCATAGTCATCTTTTGGATAATAATTATAATTACCACGATGATAATAAATAATATTAATATTTAGACGTCGCGAGTTATATTTTTGGAGGCAGCCAGGGATGCAAAGAAATGCAATTTAAATAAAAATTAATTTATTAACTAATAATTTCTTACTACTAAAGTGACTATCGATCGATGTTAGATCAAGAGTAAAGATAAGAAGCACGTAATGTCCTTATATACTGCATTTCTCATAGGAAGTTACAGTATTTGGCGAGTTGTATGTACGTGACTTGCTGCGCTTGCACTTGCGCTAGCGCCTGCGACCGGCACGTCGTCTCGTCGTCTGTACGTGAGATCCGATGCTTATGCGGTGGTTTCGCCTTGCGTAACACGCGCAAGTCTTCCAATTTTTACAAGCATGTTTTCTCCCTTCTCTGTATCTGTTTCACAAGGGATTTCAAAAAAATTAAAGGTCGATTTTTTTGAATCAGTCGGTGCATTTTCCGGGATAAAAAGTAGCATATGTCCTATTTCAGACTATAATCTATCTCTGTGCCTTTCATCTAGATTCTTTTAGCTCTTCTGGCGTGAAAGAGTAACAAGCATTTATCCATTCTCACTAACTTTCACATTTATAATTAGTATTATTCTCGTATCGCTTTAGGTCTCCAGCAGCTGCACCGGGTACACTGCTGTGCACTGATCACAGATACCCGTGTGGAAATGAGATTGACTACTATAATGGACTCCATGGTCTCTTTTGCAGAAAAAGTTCAGGTAGACTTTTCCGTCATGGTTCCCTAAACGACACCATCCAAAGGGCTCTTACCATTGACATTCATGTTCTTTTTGAGGCTTCTGGAATAAGTCGAAATGATGTCAAGAGATCTGATGGTCTGTCGCTGTTTCCTTGGGGAAGGGGACGGGCCGCTCCTTGCGTTGACACATTGGCCCCGTCCCATATCATGGAGACATGGGACGGGGACTTGGCCCATGGAGTCAAAGTTATATCTCCTCTACTGGTTACATGGAGCTGACTCATTTTTCGCCCAAAGAATCGGCATTGCCATTCAGCGGGGGAATGAGGCTAGCTTTCTTGCCACTATTCCACACGGACATGACTTCTACAGTAATAATTATAATTAGTGTAGGTACATTAGTTTTGTATATATAATTAAGTATATTTATAATTTTGATAAAGTGTTGAATTTACTTTATTAAAAAAATAACCTACATAGGTACCTACATGTGAACAATATTGATATTTATTATATAAATATGTTTTACATTAAATTTACTATGTATATATAATATTGATGCACTAGTCTCTGTATATTAATTAGGTCCTTTCATGTAAAATTGGCGTTTTGTCTGAACTGGCCACTTTGATGTCAAATATCTAGCGTTTGATAAGAAATTCCAAATTAAAATTTTAAATTTAGGCTTGTGTAATTGTGTTTCGAATTTAGTGATTCATTTGCTTTTGCGTTTTGATTATTTGCTTTTTCTTTGACATTGTTCTGTTCACTATATGGAAAAAACAAAATTAAAATATCGCGTTATTTACGAATACGAGTTCCAGCGTGTCACCAGCGCTGCAGAAACAGCTCGAAGGATTAAGGGGTACCTTACTCCAACAACAACAACTTTTTTCCAGAATTTAGATAATTTCTTGCAAGGAAAACAAATATATTCCGATGAGGCAGACCAAACCGCCTGTAGAGATTTTATTGATTCTCGCTCCCACAATTTTTTCAGCAAAAGAATCATTGAACTACCTATAAAATGGTGAAAGTGCATAGATAACAATAGTAGAAGAATAGAATGTCTACTAATCTGAATGAACTATCAGGGCCTCCATTGTTGGATGCATGTATGCATGAGGATGGATAGATCACTAATGAGGAATGTCACCATTTTTTTATTTTTATCTTACAATACACTCCTTTAAAATTTAAAAAATACCGTAAAAATATTTTTTTTTCCTCAGGACTTATAGCTTCCGAGATATTCTTGCGCGCGACGACGCGTAGTCATCGGCCGCTGTGACGTTATTCTACAACGGTCGGTCAGTACGTGTTTGCTCCCGACCGAAGTTTGCATCGAAAATTGATAAAAACTTCTAAAAATAAAATACATAAAATGCATTTATCTACAATCACAATAAAGAGGAAATCAATATGACAGGTTTTTGACCTTAGCTTAATAATACTTAATAAGCGTAGTCGCGTACATCCGAATAATAACCTACTTTTAAACACAATATTACTTCTGGTTCACACAATGTTCAGATTAGGTTTATTATGTAAATTTTTTGTTGAATTACATATTTAAAAATACTACATATAAGTCATGATCAAAAATAGGTAGGTACAATAACACCGTAATGAATCCCATCATATTACATTATCATGTCAAGTTCATAGTATCAATATGACGTATTAGGTACATTTATAAAACAAAACACTAATAATGAGAAATATGTATAAAGGCACTTGGCCTCTATCATCATTATACGTACGTCGACGCTTTATTACTTTGCATATTCTCTTCAGATCTTTGTCCTGCAAATCCCACTTCTGATAAAGGCACTTGGCCTCTATCATCATTATCAATTGTTTCCATATTCAATAATATAGTAGTCTATAATGTGGGTAGACGTGAGTTGACGGACGAAGAGAATAAAGCGACGCTTCACAAATCATACACAATATAATCACTAATTATAATCCCTTTTTTTTATTTGAAATGGGCTCACTCTTGACCTTCATCTTAGCTCGAAGGCACAGATAAGGTCTACGATCTAGCAAGTTTGCCCAGGAGAAGCCTGTTAACACGCACCTTAAAAAGGTTCAGGTTATACGCACTCGAAAAAACAGATGCAGGCAGCGCATTCCACATCTTGGCTGTGCGCATTATAAAAGATGACGAATAGCGCTTAGTGCGAGTGGTCGGAATGTCAACCAAGAAAGGATGGTATCCTGCAGTACGTCTGGTGTTCCGATAGAAGAATGGCGATGGCGGTATGAGACTGTGGAGCACGTGGGCACACTCCCCGAAGTACAGTCTGTAGAAAACCGACAGACAAGCAACTTGGCGACGGTGTGCTAAGCTGTGAAGCTTAGTTTTCACAAGCTTTTCGTCGCCGATTAGCTTTTTAGCTCTGCGTTCCACCGAGTCAAGAGCGGCAAGTTGGTATTTTGCAGAGCCATCCCAAAGGTGACTGCAATACTCCATGCATGATCGGACTTGAGCTTTATATAATGTGAGAAGCTGTCCAGGCGTGAAGTATCGCTTAACCTTGTTAAGGATGCCCAGTTTCTTGGCCGCAGTCTGTGCCTTCGACTCGATGTTGTCGCCAAAGTTAAGATTTGCACTTAACCTTATGCCGAGAAGCTCTAGACTGTCGGAAATCTCTACAGGTGTACCACGAAAAGTAGGAGTCAGGCTGAACGGACTCCTTTTTGCGGAAAATAGACAGGCTTGCGTTTTGGCGGCGTTGAAATCGACCAGATTGTCATCACCCCATTGTGAGACAAGACTTAAGGTCGCATTTGTACGCTCTACCATGGCCTCTCTCAAAGTACTTATTATTACCCCTCCGTCCCTTGCACCGGGCACATAGCTCTCTATGATTGTGCTGTCATCTGCATATGGAACAACACCTGGTGAAAGTAGGTCATTGATGTGTAGCAGGAAAAGAGTCCCAGAGAGAACATACCCCTGTGGAACTCCGGCATCAATAGCCATTAAATCGGAGGAGCAGCCGTCAACGACGACTCTGATCGACCGTTCAGTTAGGAAGTCTGATACCCAGTCGCAGAAGTCGGAGGGGATGCCGTAAGCAGGAAGCTTGCTCAGTAAACTTGCGTGCCAATCCCTATCAAATGCCTTCGAGATATCAAGTGAAACTGCTAGAGCTTCACCACGGTTTTCGATGGCCTCACCCCAGTACTGTGTGACATACACAAGAAGGTCCCCTGTAGACCGACCCCTGCGGAAGCCATATTGATGGTCACTAAGGAGATCATTAGCTTCAAGGTATGACATCAGTTTACTGTTAAGCACCCTTTCCATAACTTTACAGATTATGGAGGTAATGGCGATTGGTCGATAGTTGCAGGGATCGGCACGACTACCCTTCTTTGGTACTGGCTCAACATTGGTAAGCTTCCAAGAAGTGGGCACTGTGCTAGTTTGGAGAGAGAGGCGATACAAGCGAGTCAGCACAGGAGACAACTCCGGTGCACAATTCCTTAGGACTCTTGCAGGTATACCGTCAGGTCCACTGGCCTTATTCACGTCAAGATTTTGCAGTATTCTACGGACCTCTTTCGTGTGAATTGCAATCTTGGGCATCGTAGAATCACATTGGGGAAGAATTGGTGGATGTTTGGATCCAGCATCTAGACGCGAATTGCTCGCGTACAGAGTTGCAAGTAAATTTGCTTTCTCTACCGCGGAGTGAGCCAGTGACCCATCTGGTTTCTGCAAGGGAGGTAAAGAGGGACGGCAGAAATTGGACTCGACAGCCTTAGACAGGAACCAGAATTGCTAACTACCAGGAGGGTAGGAAGCATAAGTCTGGCTCCTATACGACTGACATGGTCAAAACGTGCTCTACGGAGAACCCTATTGCAAGACTTGGTAGCAACATTATAAGCTCTTTTCTTCACACGAACCCTCTGAGCTCTGACTTTGCGATCACGAGCCAAAACCCAGGACCGGTAGGCGGCCTCTTTTCGCGCCTCAGCACGAGCACAGTCCGCATTATACCAGGGCTTGGCTTTGTGGCCCAGCGGGATGTCGGAGAACGGAATGAAGTATTCCATTCCCTGCCGTATCACATCGACAACCGCGTCGGCTGAGCACGAGAGGTCGGTCGAAGAAAAGCACGCTTGCTGCCACGGGAAAGATGCAAAAAAATGCCGCATCTCATCCCAGTCCGCTGACTCGTATCGCCATACTCTCCTCGTGCCCACTGGGCAGTCAACCGGAGGAGAGAAGATCGATACGGACTTCACCAGATTGTGATCAGACGATCCCAGAGGGGATGATACCGATACTGAGTGCCTGTCCGGTTCTGTTGTCAGCAGAAGATCCAAGCAATTGCGTGTATGTCCGTCCACATCTGGTTCCCGCGTCGCAACTTGGACCAGCTGAGTGAGATCTAGCGATAACGCAAATTTGCGCGCCTCTCTCCCAGCATGGTCAGTGAATTTGTGGGAGAACAACCACTGTTTGTGGTGGGCATTAAAGTCCCCAAGAAAAACCAGTTGTGCCGCCGGGTACCGTTGTTGGGCTATATCAGCCATCCCTTTTACAATTGTTTATTAACACTTCAAAATTCTTAGCAGTTCTCAATTTCAATTAAAAAATCACACACAGACACTCCACCGAACATGTAATGTACCGATGCGATGCGAATCGAATGACAATAGTAATGTCCGTCTCGACTCACACGCTAATGCTCACTAGCGCCCGGGGTTGTGTCAGAGTGTCGAAACGTCACTCTCAAAAATGTCAATGCGCCGTCACGGCCGGACTGACAATAGCACGCCCTCGTGCCTCTTCTCACCTCGCTGTTCTAGTTAATCTGCAAAGATAAAACATCATGTTTTTTCCAGTACGCTCGCTCATCCCTGACTCAATATAATTACTGCGAAAATTTTATGTCTCATGTCATGTGTGACTTTCCATTTCACCTGTAGAATGGACCGGATAACTGAACGTAGGCGTCCCTTCGACTAGCCAACATTCGCAATGCTACATAGACCGGACAACCCCTCAACGTCCTTTCGACCATCTAACACAATCAGACTTCATATACGCGACCGGTAATCTGATCCGAAACATCGACCTACATAAGCCAGTTTTCTTGACCGATTACCGTCTCCAGTACAACACCACAAACACTCTACTACAGTCTGTCTTAGAACATCGACCCGCATGAGCCAGTTCTAACGCCCAGACACTTCCCGAAACCATTAACTTCAGTATGTCACACATGAGCACATATATTAAGAAAAATGACAGAGTAACATTAAACAAGGCTCTACTATCAAGTAAACTTACGATTTAGTTTTCATCACGCTCAGAGGCTGAGAGGGTCCCCGAACTAGCGGTAAGAGTTTGCGAACTAGCTATAGACATTGTATCACTATCATCGTCAGATGGTACCCCCTCATTCTCTTGACCGTGGATCGCCGTCTCGGCCTCCTCCGCATTATTAATTAAGATAGTAGCTGCTTCAACTAATCCACTATAGCCTTCGGGTACGGCACGTAAATGTTCATGGGCATATTTATAAGTTCTGTTAGATCCATCAATGTCCCTGAGCTCATACCTATCATTATCTAACACTCGCGAAATAACAAAAGGTCCTTTAAACTTTCGTTGTAGTTTCGTTTGATAACGTTCGCTACATTTTATAATAACGAAATCCCCTTGCATAAAAGGTTTTACTGTTGCTCTACCGCGGTTGAAACGTATAGTATCAGCAGTGGCAGCTTTTTCAATGTTTGAAGATGCATCCTGACGAATTGCGTTTAAGTCTAGACGAGATTCGGGCTTTGAGTACGGTAATATGCTAGACATTCCCAAGGGCTGTGCTCGTATGCCAAACATAAATTCTGTTGGTGTATATCCGGTTACTCTAGAACTTTTAACTGCCTCGGTGGTGTAGTGGCTACCATGTACGGCTGCACACCCGGAGGTCCTGGGTTCGAATCCCGGGTCGGGCCAAGTTTAGTTATTGAGTCTTTCTGTATAGTAAGGCTCAGTAACAGCCCCGAGTTGGGAAGTTGGCGGTGTTTCACCCCCGTGCCTCGGAGAGCACGTAAAGCCGTCGGTCCTGCGCCTTAACCCTCACCGGTCGTGTCGAGTAGTCATCCCACCGGAGTATGAGAGTGACAGGAATAGAGAGTGCACTTGTGTCTGCGCGTACACTTGTGCACTATAATATCTCCTGCGCAGTTGGCTAGTCTCAATGAGATTGGCCGCCGTGGCCGGAATCGGTCAGGAGAACATCATCACATCACTCTAGAACGCGTCGAGTTAAGAGCTAGCTGTACCTTCGGGAGTTCGTCTCTCCATGTTTTATTGGTTTCGTTTTCTACTATTGTAAGTAAGCATTTCAAAGTCCTCATCACCCGCTCAACTTGGCCGTTAGCCCTGCTAGAGCCAGTAGCAGTAAGGTGAAGCTCCATGTTACGATCGCTGCAGAATTGTTTAAAGTCTGCGCTTATATAACACCGACCCTGATCAGCAATAATCCGTTTTGGGGCACCGAACAGGCAGACAGCTTTTCTAAGAGCTTTAATGGCACTTGCCGCATCAAGTGAGGGTGCATACTCAAGTAGGACATATTTTGTGAAGGAATCGATTATGACTGAGGCGTATTCTTTCCTACTATCACTTTTTCCACTGAGTTTCCCTGTCATGTCGATATGTATTGTATCCCATGGTGTTGCTACTTTTGGTATTGGGTGGAGTTGTACCTACTGAGCCCCTGAACAACCCTTTGAGGCTTTGCAAACTATGTTCCATACTCTTTCCCTGTTTATGCACAATATCAATATCATACGCTTGCAAGAAAGCCCACCACCGATGAACACGCGGGGTTAAATCGGTTTTCGATTTTGACGCTTTAAGAGAGTTGCAGTCTTTAAATACCGTAAAATACTGACCATACAAGTAATGGCGAAAATTTTCTACAGCTCGAACAACAGCCAGCGTCTCCAACTCATAAGAGTGATATCGCGATTCTGTGTCTGTTGTTCTGCGGCTAAAATACGAAATAACATGAGGTGCACCATTCTTTCTTTGGATGAGTATCGCCCCATATCCTTCTGAACTTGCGTCAGTGTGCAGTTCTATTGGTGAATCCCTATCAAAAATGGTTAAAACCAGTTCTGTAGTAAGTATATTAACAATCTTTTTGTGAATCTCACTGTGTGTCTCTGACCATTTAATTGGGCCTTTTAATTTTGTTAGTGGGTACAAGGGTCCCACAATACGGGTGAAATTAGGAATAAAACGTCTAAAGTAGGACGCAAGCCCCAGGAACTGCCTAACATGTGTAGCTGTTTTAGGTGTGGGAGCGTTTGCTAAAGCTTGCACTTTTGTAGGATTTGGAGTTACCTTTCCCGCTTTTATTACATACCCCAGATAATCAATTTCCTTTTTCAAGAATGCACATTTCTTAATATTAAACGAGAAGCCCGCGTCAGAAAGTGCTTTTAGCGTGGAATCTAGGCGCTCCAAACCCTTTGTAATGTCATCAGAGTAGCATAAGACATCGTCCATGTAGGCTAATGTCACGTTATCTTTTAAGGGACCTAGTGCTTTATTAATGCACCTTTGATAAACAGATGCTGCATTTCGAAGCCCGAACGGCATTGCCAGGTACTCATACTGGCCTTCCGGAGTCACAAATGCCGTTCGTGCTATGCTATCGGGATCTACCAATATTTGGTGATAACCAGACGCCATATCTAATGAGGAAAAGTAATGGGCACCATGAAGACGATCTATTTGTTCGTCAATTCTTGGCAATGGGTAATGTTCGGGACGTGTATTGGAATTGAGCTCCCGATAGTCTACGCACATTCTATCTGTATTATCCTTTTTTTTGACCAACAAAATCGGGCTAGCGAAAGGAGAGTGACTTTCTCTAATGACACCTGCATTTAAAAGAGCTTCAACTTTCTGTCTGACAATTTCTTTTTCCGCGAGGGCTAATCTATAGGGGCGCCTTTGCACAGTTTTAGTGGGGTCAATCGGATCTATTCGTAATACACCTGTAGAAACACGTCGTGTCGGAATGCCATCGATAAAGCAGTCGCTGTATTTTTGCAGTATTTTAATTAGAGCAATTTTATTATCACCGTTTAAATCTGTATTTAGAAAATTAAAATAATCCGGTTTTTCAGTTACACTAATATCTTTACGTAATGAAAATATAAGATGGTCATTATTGATTTCGACATGAATGTTATTTTCTAATAAATCTCGACCTAAAATTACGGGCTCTGCAATGGTGCCGTCCGGTACTATATGAAATAATACTGATAATGAAATACCTTGTACATTGATGGAACTAAGAACTTGTGAATTACATTTTACATTTTCTCTACCTATTCCTGTTAAATATACCAAATTATTTTCAATCGTACCCGAAAACTTTTTAGAAAAGCTACATGTGACTAACGAACAAGCAGATCCACTATCAAAAAGAAATGAAACGGGCTCACCAGATGATGTAGTTAACGTGCTCATCGATGATTTGCGCTTGCAGATGTTGACCTCCTTGACTATCGGTGCGCTGCTCCCTCCTTTTCTTTCTGGGCATGTTGACGCGCGGTGCCCCGACTGTCCACATACATAGCACGTAATCACTCGCGTCTTATCAGGTATTCGAGAAGATTGGCTCGGTGTCTTTTCTACGGAACTAGGGTCTTCGCGCTTTTTACGGCAGTCAATAGCTCTATGTCCTGGCACACCGCAACGGTGACATGCTCCGGTAAAGCGACCTTCATTAAAACGAGTCCTTTTAACTTCAATTTCTTGGCTGTCGTTACCATCATGCCTCCGCTTTAATGATATTCCATTTAGAATGCGAAAGAGTTGATATCTAGTTACCACATTATGAGAATGAAGCTCCCTACGAATAATGACATCCTTTTGACTCAGCATTGACGCTACAAATCCTGTATTATGTCTTCAGCCATATCCGTACGGGGAATGCGTTCTATAATGCTCCATAGTCGTATCGCCGCCTCACATGTCGATTCTTTTATGCCTATTTGAAATCGAAGCACTTCATCGAAATAATCCTGTGGTAACATAGGCTTAGCGAACTTTGCCAATAGAATTTCTTTTATTTGCAACCATGTTAGTTGAGATGGTTGTAGTTTGGTGAGACAAGAAGCGGCCCGTCCCTTAAGGGCATGTATAAGCAATAATAGTAATTCCGCACCTTCTAACTTCTTGCTATCAACAATGATTTCGGTCACTTTACACCAACCTTCTATGTCTGTATCCACACAATCAGGGTCAAACTGAATCAATTGTATCGGAGGATTACTCGTAGGTAGCGCATGAGTAGCCGCTAATAATCTAGTTAGTAACATTTCCATATTCAGTAGAAAGTTGGGTTCCTGCGATGACGTCGACGCTTTATTACTTTGCATATTCTCTTCAGATCTTTGTCCTGCAAATCCCACTTCTGATAAAGGCACTTGGCCTCTATCATCATTATCAATTGTTTCCATATTCAATAATTACTACTATAATGTGGGTAGACGTGAGTTGACGGACGAAGAGAATAAAACGACGCTTCACAAATCATACACAATATAATCACTAATTATAATCCCATTTACAATTGTTCATTAACACTTCAAAATTCTTAACAGTTCTTAATTTCAATTAAAAATTCACACACAGACACTCCACCGAACACGTAATGTACCGATGCGATGCGAATCGAATGACAATAGCAATGTCCGTCTCGACTCACACGCTAATGCTCACTAGCGCCCGGGGTTGTGTCAGAGTGTCGAAACGACACTCTCAAAAATGTCAATGCGCCGTCATGTACATAGAGAGATCAAAATATTAATAACAGTTCTTAAGTAATACTTACTTTTGCATTTTTACTCCTCACATCTCGGCGGCCGAGAAATGGAGCTATTTAAAAAATAGTGGGCAACCATTAAACTGTCTATTTCAGGCAAGTTATCAGATTATATTTTTTCAAAACCGTCATCCAGATCGTCTATACTTGCTATGCCCGCGGTCGCGGGTTCGAGTCCCGCTGGAACCATTCATGGTGTTGATCCATCAGGCAGTCAGGACCACCGCAGGATGCATCTCAGCTTCTCAATTCTTCCTTCGGCTGGTCTAACTTCCAGATACAATCATATATGTAAAGCATAGGTAAGATGGAAACAATAGAAGAAAAAAACTAGGTATAAAAAAGATATCACATTAAAGACTGAATGTAAATAGGCCATACCTGTAGTGCCCTCCTTTCGAGAAATCTCCAATTTCGATTGTATGTTTTTGTGTGATTAAAATTATTATAAATTTTATAGTTTCAACTATGAAGTGTTATTACGTATTATATCGAACAAATCCTTGTAAAAATTCTTTTTTTTAGTTGGTAGGGGTCAGAGTTTGTCATCTGTGTTATATTTATATTTTTTATAATCTATGACTGTCATCTCAATCTCATTCTGTTGATAGTGAGAATTAGAGATGGCGATATCTTAATATCGATATTTCGATATTATCGACCACAAAATATTCAAATTTTATTTTTTAATATAATCATATTATATTGTAGATAATTACATTTTTAGATTAGAGAAGATACACTGCAGTTCAATTTTTTAAAAACTAACACACACATATATATATATATATATATATATATATATATATATATATATATATATATATATATATATATATAACATTTCGAAAATCATTTGTAATTTGATTTGATTTTAATTTATTATAAAAAAATACATCGAGATTTATCATATCGATGTAATTCCACCGGGATACTTAGTGTTCGTGATTCATGAATCACATAATATTATAAATGAAAACTCTCGTCTTTATTGAAAGATACATAAATTTTTTAAAGTGAGAATTAAGCTGTTATAAATCACAACCAGTTTTTGAGTAAGCTTATAAGTTGTTTTTTGGAAGTATTATACAAACTGTTGTATTTAAAAGCTCGCTTAACAATGTCAAATTGATTATTTCAGCTTAGCTGCTTTTAGCCTGGCGTCGACTACAGCAGAAACGCGTCAAATCGAGGCGGATCGACTCGAGTCACATTTATTCCTGGTGCGTCCATTTCAGCCGAAGCGAATTGCTCATTTATCGCAACTCGTCAGCAAAGCAGGTCGTGAATACGCTTCGATCTTCTTAATTCTATAGTGTAGTATATACCTACACAGATAAATAAAATCGAAATATCTTAATCTCAAGATAATAGCTTATTACTAATGCATATGAAACTATATACCGTACTTATCAGAAAAACACATTTTTTTATTTTTGTCTGTCTGTTTGTTCTGGCTAATCTCCGAAATGGCTAGATAGTTTTTGACGGGACTTCCACTAGTAGATACCTGATGTTATAAGGAGTCATTTATGCTATTTTTCTTATAGAAAAAGAATTACGGTTCCGTTAAAAAAATTAAAACGTACCTAGGAACGAATCGGTATACGAATCGGTAATAGGTATTTTTAAAATAAAATACAAAAGACTCGTCAGGCGCATGCGATTCCCCGCGTCGATTAAGGCGCGCCGAATCGAGTCGTAACGCGTCGCCGAAGAAATTCGCCTGACGAGCAATGCGCGCGGGGGATTCAATTCGGTGCACTGCGACTCGTCGCTAATGAACGCAATTTCATAGTAAATATATAGGAGGCGAATTTCTGCGGTTCCATTCGCCTCGACTTGGTGCCCTAGTGGACGCCAGGCATTACACTTAATAAATCATAGTCATCTTCAGTCACTCATTCATTCATCATAATATGATGAATGAACGAGTGACTAAAGATAAAGTAGGGTTGCAACATCCCCCCAAACGTGCGTTCACCTTGTCGTGTTTTCAGTAGTGCCCGGCAACCCAACCGGGCGCGAAGCCAAGAAACGCACAGGGAGGTGGCCCACTTCGGTGGGCGGTGGTAAGTGGCCCTCTTCGGAGGGCGATGTACCATGCGGGTTGCTCCTGGTACTTCTCTGATAGCAGAGTGGACCTTGGAGCAACCCCGTGGTTGTTGTGGTCTGCTTCGGCTGACCTGCCGTCGGGGCGTCGTAGTTGAATGCGTAAGCGATCCTGCGACGCCCCATTATGACAGGGGAAGGCTTTGTTGGGTTTTAGTGGGTAGTACTGGCTTTGCCGGTGAGTTCCACACCTCGTGCGTAAATGCATTTCCCAAAGTTAAAAAAAAAGGGTTGCAACATCGCTTATAAACGTTGACTGATGATAATTGTTTTTGTAGATTATGGCGTGCTACAAGACCTTTAAGCCAATTGACGTTAAAATATTTATGCATCGTTGCCAATAATATATTCGTAATGTAATTTAGCGTAAATTTAATAATTTTAATGTTGTTTTTCTGAGGTAGTATAATGAATATTTTATAAACTCTGTGATACATTTCTATTTAGTAAAATATTGAATAGATAAAAAAACAAAACTATATCGATATTACTTTAAAAATATCTTTTTTTTTATTTACTAGTTGGGATTATCGATATTTAAATATCGATATTTTTGACTTTATTATCGATATTTCACTAATACCGATAAATATCACTCATCGGGCAATGGGCATCTCTAATTAGTAAGCATGGAAATGATTGCTACTTTTAAATCATTATCATGTGATAAAATTACGTATATTTTTCACGTGATTTCACCTGCTACTTTTCACGCATAGATTTTTGATTTCGACGGTCTGGTGTCACACTTTATATTATTTGCTATTAAAATGAAGTATGAAATGTCACCAATGGCGCTACTGATGTGATATGGAGCAGAGATATAGATCTGACGTAGTTGCATACGTACATGGTGCTTTGAATGAACCTATTTTCAAACAATGAACTTTCCCTCATACTTCTACAGGCTTGGGACTGACAATGTAAAATTAAATGAATTTTAAATATATCAGAGTAATCACACGGTAAAATTGTATTAAGCTAAGTTCCATAATTACATTGGCGTATTTAAAAGTTCATTGTTTTTATGTACAATAAGAATTTTTATAAAAGAATTTTATACACTTTTTTTTTGTTTTTCTTAATTTTTTTAATTTGTTTATAATCATTTTTTTTGCTTTTTGATTTTTTTGATGATTGATTTTTTTATGAGATATCTATATACAATAGTCTTCATTGCTTTTTAAAAATACAAGTTCCGCTGTTCGTTTTCTGCTTAATCGTGCTCTTTTTTGGGTTGCAAAATTTCCCGCTTTTGAAAATACTCTCTCACACTCCACTGATGTCACCACGATGTGACAGTGCTCATGAAATATTTCCGTCAAATTGGGGTACATATAGGAGTGAGATTTCCACCAAACTAATGGCGAAGAATCGCGCGGAAGCACTGGTTCATTAATAAACATTTCTAGCTCGTTCTCAGCGTTGGTGGTTATGTCTGTACGTATTACACATAATCATTCAGTAAAAATTATAAGTATTTGTTGGATAAAAAACTAAAAATGTGCTCTAAATTCTTCTCAAATGATAAAAAATTTCTCAATTGTTGTTTCTAATTTAAAATTATTTCTAAACAATATTTCTAAGAATCCGAAATCATGCAACTCGAAATAAATAAACTCCCCAATTTACTGATCAACGGTATTAACTGAAAATTGTATTTTGTTGAATAAAAAATCAATAAAAACATCAGTACGAAAATGTATACGGAAAATGCGAGTAACGAAATGCATTCGTGAGTAAAGTTTCGGTACTCGGTACTAGATGGCGTACCCGTTACTCAGTAACGAATACATACGGTTTGCTACAGCTCTAGATTTCATCAAGTTGTGATTTGTAGCAGTCACTATGAATTTAAGTAGCAGGTGTGACGTATGATAACGCATTTCACGTGATTTTTCACTTGCTACTCGTGAAATGTTCCATGCCTACTAATTAGTAATTTGAAATGTCAATTTCAATTGTGCAATGCGAATATATTTTGATTTTTACTACTTGCAGTTTAATTGAAAAGGAACTTGTATTTTCTAATTTAAAGATACTAATTGTAATTTGTAACTCTATAGTGAATAGTCTATAACAAGAATGAGTGATAGAAAGTACAGCAAACAAAGCGTAAATATTTTATTTATTTTCATAATAATTTAAATTGTGTGTAATAATAATTAAACATAGTTTTATTTCAATCATAATTAAAAATTAAATATTTTTTTGTTTTAGAAAGCGGATATCGCGAAGCAGTTTGATCTTCCAGAGCGGCAATCAAAGATCACTACGTTGCTCAACCAAGCAGGTCAAGCTTATTGTATATGCCGATCGTCCGATAGTTCACGTTTTATGATGTAATGATTTTAATTTTTTTTTATGTATTACCAAACTTTTTTCTCTAAGTCCACACTAATATTCATTTCTTTCGCTTTCAGAGCATGTGATGCATGTGAGGAATGGTATCATGGAGACTGTATTAATATATCTGAAAGAGAAGCTAAATATATCAAGAACTATTTTTGTGATCGATGTCGAGAGGAGGATCCCACACTTAAAACAAGATTTAGACCCCAAAAAAGGGAAAATGATGGTGATTCAGGTATACTTAATGCACATACAGTCTGTAAAATAATATTTGATTCCATTCATCATTGATGTAAGTAATATATATTAAATAGGTATTTTATTCAATTAAATTTTCTTGTGAATGGCTTCAAAGCATGCCATTTAAGCACAGATTAATTCACCAATGTTGTGTAGAATGGAAAAGATACGAGGGAGCTTAGTTAAATACTTTTTAATATGATACAATGTTCATTTATACTCAGGAAGAGATGACAGAAAGAAAACACGGAAAGAGAAAGATCATTTTGAAAACAAGTCATCAAAAAGGCCAACAAAAGATGGCTGTGGAGAATGTTCTGGGTGCTTACAGACTAATGATTGTGGACAGTATGTTAATTTTCTATTTTTAATAAGCTTATATGTTATTTATTTATGGTATTGCTAAAAATTAAAACATGTTTTAATATTTAAAATTCATGAGGAAACATTTTATAACTTGACCAAAATGAATGGAGAAGTTTCAGAGATATTGTTAATATCATATTTAGCACAATGGAATTAATGGTTGTTCAGGTTGTGTAACATCAAAAAATTATTCTTACGAGGGCAACTTTAATGTCTCATAACTTTTTCATTTGTTGAGATATTTTAATATTACATAATTTCATATTTTTGTTATTTTTAACTTTAATTTTTATAGTTAATATATATTTTAAAAATTGTAAATTTCTCCTTTGTCAATATTTAATAATAATATAGTAATAAAAAAAATTTCAGTTGTGATGCATGTGAAGATATGTATAAATATGGAGGTAACAACAAGCTTAAATGCCATCAAAGAGTATGTGTTAAAAGTAAGAAGACATCTAAAGTGTCAAGGTATGATCACAAACTTCTTTATCAAGCCAATTTAAATATACAATCAAATAGTTTTACTCATTACATATCTCCTTTCTAGAAAGAAATCATAGTAATACTGCCGTCATAAAAAAAGATGGCTGCAACTTCGTCAAAGTTGATTTCGAGATATTTGAAGTTTTGTCTTAGTATTATGTCAAAACTACTACTAGTTTTGAAGTAGTTACGATAAAAATAGTTACGGTATTTCCGGATTCATAAGATTTAGAACTATATGAGTAAGACTATCAAGTAGCATTTTTTTTGCCGATTCCGAATCTGCCTTTAAGTCATTTTTGACCAAATTGTTAGTAAGAGCCTTCTTTATTATTATGGCAGGATAATCTTTTTTGTTATATTTTTATTATACTGTATATGTATATGGTCAATTCAAATATTATAAATGCCAAATGGAAGGAATGAATAGGTATATTATATGGGTAATGGGTTTGCCATTACCTATATAATATACCTATACTTCATTTAAAAAAATAATTTCATCCGTAATTACTTTTATGTGCAGTATTACATTGACTTTGTATACAACAAGTCACTATTAATCGAATTTGAGGAGGGATAACAAATGTATATTCCACTTAGTAAGTAGTGACTTAACGCTCACTTTGCTCGGGATTAACCCTAGGTGTATTGTGCATTCAACCTTTGGTTATATGACAATTTGGCTATAGTGACACATATTTAAAATATGTATAGCTGAACTAAGCGCACATACAGACAGGATATAGTGACTTTTTCTTTTATACTATTAATTGATTTAGTATATACCTGCAATTTAAAAATAATAAAAAATTATTACAATATAATAATAAAGTTGATATTACAAATTTAAAAAAATTAACATATTTTTTTTTAATTACTGTTACAGCAGTAATAGAATTAAAAAGAAGCATCATGAACGTGAGGTATATGAGCCAGAAGAGTCCATATCTCATTTGCAAACATCTGAGCCACGGCAGTGCTACGGTCCCCATTGTTCCCGTGCAGCAAACTATGGCTCCAAGTACTGCTCTACTCAGTGCGGCATGCGGCTGGCCACAGCTAGAATATACCAGGTAGGTAACTTCAGTTAAATGTAAGTGTGGAAAATTAAATATAAATATACATATAGAGGAATCAGGAAGGAAGGAGAAGAGAGCATTATCAGCATAATAAATAATCAATTATTTAGGCTTCAAGGTTTTTTTAAAGGGTTATTTTGGATGTAATAATCCAGAGAAATAAAAGTCAAAATAGTCTTTGTTAATCACATTTTATTTGGAAGTTACTAGACTGATTTCAATGTGGTTTCTTCTTCTTTACTATTTATACTGTAAAAAAGCAAAGAAACCCAAGAAAGTAATAGAATAAAATTACTTATTTAATTCTTTATGACACCAACAATATGAAAATATAAGAAATTCATAAAAGTTACATAAAGATCCCGTATTCAGAATGGTATAGGTTATTAGAAAGGAGTAGAATGGATAGTGATTGGAAAACATATGGGAAAGGGGAAAAAAGGAAGAAAAAAAGAAACCAGTCTGCAGTACATTTGGTTTAAAAGTACATACTAACATTATTGTTATGTTGTTTTCTCATTAAAATCTAGTGTTGCTTTAATAAAGGCATCACTTAGTCTAAATCGTCCTTTGTCATATAATGTACCATTGCTTACAAAAATACATTACACAGAAGCCTACATAAATTAAAAAAAAAAGTGTGTGTGTACTTATGTATGCACGTAAAAACAAAAATAGCTAAAGATTTTATCCCGTATGTCACAACTCTCTGTTTGTAAAAGGAATGATAAATTAATAAAATAATTAAATAAGGCATATTAGGTAATAGGCATATTACAATCATATATTTATGGATTATCATTTAAGGAAATAATATTATATATCATTTGTCAGATAATAACAACGGTTACCATGGCAACAAACAGTTATCAGCTAACTTCATCATGTCGCTTTTTGGCTGTCGATGTGCGCGCGCATCGTTAAGATTTTACTCTCAAATTTTTTTTCCAAATGTCCCAAAAGAAGTATAACTTTAAAAATAATAGTAATAATCTTCTTTTCACCATCCAGGTGCTACCTCAACGCATCCAGGAGTGGTCTCTCTCACCTTGCATCTCGGAGCAGCACAACCGCAAAGCCCTGGAGGTGGTTCGTGGAGAGCTGGCTCGAGCCCAGGCTGCCCTCCGAGCCCTAGACAAACAGCACCGTGACCTGGATGCGCTACTGCTGAGAGCGCGACAGGCCACTATTGACAGTGGGGATGAGAAAGTAAGCTTATACATTTATTTCATCAAAACTCATAATTGTTTATGTTTCTTTTATAGTAGTAATGTAAATAGTACAACTTGATTATGACTGAGGATATTTCAATTTAATTTTCTTGTTAATGACTTCAAAGAGTGCCCGTTGAACATAGAAGTAGGCTTATTTAATTTCAAATTTTGGTGAAAAACGAAATGTTGCAAAAGCTCTACATCTATCGAGATATTTATAAAGTAGATATAAATATCTCGTGTCACGGTTTTTATGGTCGCATTTCTCCGAAACGACTTGACCGATTTTAATGATGATTTTTGGTCGTAAGGTATTTTTCACCCTCCAACTCCCACCCCCTATTTTGTAATCGCGATTTTAGTATTTTTGTAAGACCAATATTATACAAATACATGGTGACGAACCTGAGCGAAGGTGAGTCATGAGTCATGATCATGAGTGAGATTATACAGCATATAACATAAATCCAAAGAGTTTTTTTTTGTAGATTGAACGCGGGCGTAGCCGCGGGTTGTGCTAGTAATGTCATAAATTAATGTTGAGTGTGTGTTTGTTCTGGCATATTCCAGAAAGTACTCTCATAAAAAATATTATTACTATGGTGTCAGTGGTTTTTGTTAAGTTGAACGAAAATTTTCTACTCTTTTTTTATTTTATAATATTAGATCTAATCAACGTTACCATACTACCATACTCAATACCAAAAATCCAGGAAGCAGACGACGAGACCTCAATGTATTGCATCACATGCGGCCACGAGATACACTCGCGTACTGCAGTCAAGCATATGGAGAAATGCTTTATAAAGTACGAAGCGCAAGCATCCTTCGGAAGCCGCCATCGCACGCGCATCGACGGGCAAAGCATGTTCTGTGACTACTATAACTCGGTCAATGGAACCTATTGCAAGCGTTTGCGGGTAAGATACAATAATTATTAAAGTTAAGTAACACTCCCTGTGTCGATCATTTGATGGGTGGCCGTTTTGTGATGAGATGACTGAATTTGTGATAGCTTGAATAGCATAAATAAAATCTTTAATTATTTTGTATATATACATGTGTATTCAATGTATAGGCAAACTAGTTTTAATAGTTTGGTAATAGTGGAGATAGCTATTATTACTATTAATTTAAATGGTAATTTTTTTTGTCTTTTCCAGTAACAATGTTACGCCAGATTTATATTATCTTTGGCACATAGAGAAAAAAATGCATAGCTTCACTAATATTTTAACGGTGAATGTTTATAAGTGAATGGTCGCCTATATTTATAACAAGAATGGAATAACTGGTAAAAGCTAGTGGATAACAAATGTAAACCTTCCAGGTAATGTGTCCGGAACACTTCAAGGATCCTAAAGTGAGTGATACAGACGTTTGCGGGTGTCCGTTGGTGCGCAATGTGTTCGAGCCCACCGGTGAGTTCTGTAGAGCTCCCAAGAAGTCCTGTCTGAAACACTACCAGTGGGAGAAGTTGCGTCGCGCCGAGATCGATATGGAGAGGGTTAGGCAGTGGCTTCGCCTGGACGAGCTGGTGGAACAGGAGAGGAGCATTCGGCTAGCTATGGCTTCCAGGTTTGTTCCTCTTCATCTTCTTCAGGATCTAGGTTTTTTGGGTTTCAGGAAGTGGGTTTTGTAGCCGGTTAGTTATCGAATAACAGGTGCTATGCGTAAATAATTTTCCAACTTAAAAAAAGAAGGATGTATGTGGGTATTAATTTTTCATATTGTTTGTTTTTTATGTAATCCGAAAGTAACAAAATATCAGTTGAATAATAGGTGTATGGTGATCGTGGTAAAGTGTAGTGTGTTTTTGAATAGCTGAAATTATATAATGCCAGATCCACATGCTTGTTTGTTTAGGTTCACTTTGTTTCTTCTTATAATAGAAATAAGATAAACTGAACGTATTAGCCGATATAAGCTCGACGTTCATCTTGTTAGTTCTTGTGGATGTCGATGTTTGTCTTAGCAAAGTTAGCCAAGCATTTGTAGAGGTATGAAGTCTGTGGCGAATGGTAAGCGTGTGGATCCAGCATAAAATTTTCCTAAAAATATGACATGAAGTGACTGTTTGTATTCTGTAAACAAATGTTAAAAAGTAATTGGAAACCGCATCATGCTGTAAATTAGGAAAAAGAACAGAGTGGCGTCAATTGATTCTCTCTCTTTCTCTGTCCCTTTCAAATTATAAATAATAACCTCGTGACTGATTTGTGCTAAGATGGCCAGTAAGTAACTGTACTGTGTGAGGTGTGACTCTACTATTTTTATTCTCAAAGTCCGATGGGACGATACTTCAACAATGTTTGGTGAGAGATGCTAAAGGCGCCCCTGATCCTTTAGAATCCCGGCTCTGTTATTGATGGTTTTTGAAAGGAAATCCCTCAATAACTCAATGCTTGGCCCGATTCGGGACTCGAATCTGGGATCTCCGAATCATATATTCTACCGTACATACAGAAGCCATGAACATGGCTTTTCAAACGGTATTTTAATCTTAATTTATTAAATTTTAACTATATGATAATTTTAGATTTTGATTATAGGGCTGGTGTCCTCGGCTTGATGCTCCATTCGACTTATAACCACGAAGTGATGGAGCGTATCACCAAAGCTAACGAAAACGGCAAGCTTAAGGAGGGCTCATGACACAGGCCCCACAAAACATCGAAGCCTCGGGAAAATAATATTAAATAAATTAAATGTTTATTCTGTATTTTGGGTTTTATTCATTTTTCTAGTGGATACAGCATGCATTAATTTTAATTCACATTTTTGACAAGAAAACATGAAAACAACGCTAAAAAATTAAAATATAAATAAAAGTATTATTTAAACATAACCAAACATTAAAGTTATTTAATAATTTGGAATCGTTAAACATCAATATTAAAAAATATATTGGCACAATATTAATTTAGTAAAAAATTACATTGAAAGTGACTAAAACGCTTAAAACTTAAATTGTATAACAAATTGTGAAGTTAAGTCTAAGCTAAGCTATACGATAGATCACATAATATACTAATACTAGTACAGATGCCTCATCTCATACAAAGAAATTAGACAGCGCTAATTCGGACTATTCTTCGGGCTATTTTTGTTTGTTTGAATAAATAATACATGTCGTTGATTCGCAAATAGTTAAACTGTTTTATTTTATAAACATATGCAAACTAACGTATGGTAAGTTTTGTAAAATTCATCCTGTATTCGAATAAAAAAGTCTGTGATTTTAAATATTTTTAACCGTTATAAACAATTCATAAAAAGTAAAAGCGCCATCTGTGAATATACACTAGAAACCTATCATCTGATTGCTGATATTTTAAAAATCTGTAAAATTATGCAATTTGATTTACGCTCGCAATATTTCGTTTTCCTCCACTTAGAATATTTTTTAAAACAGTTATACACTTTTTTGGGATGTATTTTTTATCTTTTGTTAATTTAACATAACTTAAATAACAAATCTACACATGTAACGTCATCTATTGACATTTATTTGTACTAATTTTTCTTTGTTCGTGATGAGACCCCATGGTATACTGAATTATTTGATTAAAACACATACAAGAGAACACTATTACGATACTTTTGCAATGAGTCCCCAAATGGATCTAACCTCTCCAGGTTTCTCAACAATTACAATTCTCGTTTAGTAATTAAGACAGTCGGGAGTGTCATTTATAATTTTAACATAAGCTGACATGACAGACGACCTGTCCAACAATAATGTGATTTTAATTGAGTTCGTACAAAATCCTAAAGAAAATCAGTTTTGTCCGAATTTTCCAAATTTCCGGATAACTTTTCCAATTTTTAAAACTACACTACAAACAAGGGACCCGTTTGGTCAACTAATGGTTTATAAGTTATAACATGCAGTTTATTGTAAAGTGTTTTAACAAAAAACCTTTCAATAGGGTTAGGTTACCCAGTTACCAGGCTTATACATATAATATACTGTATTATCTACAATATTAGACTTTAAAATTATTTACAAAAAAAATAAACATGTACCTATTAGAAAAGAAGTAAAGAGAATCTCCACTACGGCCACAGACATGTATCAACTACAGAAATTTTAGACTAAGAGATACATAGCGAAAATAATTCCCGCTACTAATTTTGGTACAATGAAAATAGATTTTATCTTCTATGCTTTATGGATTATATTCCATTATAACTCCTTAAAAAGAAGATTAGGGTTAACCTCATCACTTATGGGTGTTTCATGCCATTCGATTTTGAAAATAGAGCATAAATAAATAAAGTACTTTTAAGGAAAATTATTTTAAAAAGATACGTCGAGTAATAAGATTTGAGATATGGGATATTTTTGTCCTTTTTTCTTCTTATTTTTGTTCTACGCGTTTGGCCGCAAAGTTAATTTTGCTTCTCGTAGTAATACTATGAAATATAAACTTATTTTTGCTGTTAATAAAACGAATAAAATAACGTAACAAATTAATATGTTAAGACAGCATAAGTTTAATGTTTTATGCTACGGAATCCTCAGTGTACGAGTCAGACTCCCACTTGTACTATTTTTTATTTTTAAAAATATGACATTCTGCTATAATAATATCGTGATTCTTTTCCTTGTATGATTAATAAAATTTGATGTTAAAATACATATTTATGGTTTTCTTTTATAAACAAAAAATTCAACAAACTTTTGTGCTAAATATAAAATACGAATACTAGGGTGATATACACTTGCTAGGGTGATTATTTAATAAAAGCGCATCATACGCATCAACTACGGTTTCTTACAATTAAAACAGTATTATCCATTTAGAGGCGTGAAGCCAGAAATTGAATACAAAAATATTATAGGTAATTGTAATGGGATCAAAGTCAACGTTAATATTATTTTTTTAAGTTATAACAATTTTATCCTAGGTGTATTTAGAAATTTCCTACAATGAAAAAATTTAACTTTTCCTCTATACACATATGCTAGCATTGCCCGCGACTCCGCCTGAGTTCAGATGACCAAAATCCAAATTCTTAGGTTTTACATATTATATAGTCTTACATTGCAGTTTTGTATTTTTTCTCAGAAATGAGATACTTTTCCGCGGTAAAAAGTATCCTATATGTTGACCCGGATAACCAACTATCGCCATACCAAATTTCATCAAGATCCCTCTAGTGGTTTTCCTGTGATGCGGTAACAGACAGACAGACAAAAATTCTAAAAACTATAGATTTGGCCACTGTGTCGATCATAATGTTTATTTCAATAAAATTTTCCAGAAAATATTTAATGTACAGAGTCGGCTTAGTGTCAATTTTATTATAAGTATGTATAGATAAAAGTCGATGTGTGTATGTATGTTCCCTATAGACTCCAAAACGGTTGGAGCGATTTTGATGAAATTAAATTTCGATAGTAATTGTGGTAACTGATTATCCGGGTGAACATAGAACTTACTGAGGGAAAATATCTTATTTCTATATCTAGCTTATTAATGAAGTCATCAGATGATCATAGGAACGCTTGAACTGTACAGTTTGGAAATAAAAGCTTTGTTTCTATTAAATACTTAACGCTTATTACAATAGCATATTTAATTTACATGTGTCGTAAATGCAGGTTCTATGGGTCTCTCTTCCGTTTCAAAAGGCGCAGTTTCCGTTAATCTGCAACTTGCTAGAATATTTACAAGTACTAACAATAGGTAGGTACTTAATTAGTAATTTCTTACAAAGTATTTTTTTTTAATATCTATAAAATATTTAATATTTTTAAAAATTCTTAGTGTATCTTCTAAAGCCAATTAGATAACAAAAGAATTTGTTACAGTTAGTTATCATATAAAAATACGTTTAGCGCGTCCCCTTCTAGAGGCTACACGTGCAACACCCCCAGTCGTTTCAATATCAACCCCGATTTGTAATTGAAGCATGTAATTCCAATGACATGTTTTGCTAAATCTCATCATTTGACACGGAGAACCCCTCGTTTAATTTTAGTTTCAACATAAGGTTTGCGAGAACCGTCTGGTGCAGTAGTTGATATATCTGAATCATATAGGTATTTATTTGTACTCATTGTTGTGAACTCATCCTCTGCTAATTTAGGTAGTTGTGGTTAGTAACAGCATGATTACTAACTTGAAATATATTTATATACCTATATTCAGCCTTTTTTAACGTCCCACTGCTGGGCACGAGCCTCCCTTCAATACGAGGGGGATCAGGCCACCACGCTGGCCAAGTGCGGGTTGGCAGACTTCACATGTCTTTTGAAAACTTGCTAGGTTCTCTCAGACATGCAGGTTTCCTCACGATGTTTTCCTTCACCATAAGGCAAGTGGTAATCATATTAGAAATGATTCGCACATGAAAATATCAGAGGTGCGAGACCCGGGATATGAACCCGCTTCACTCGGTTTCCCAAGCGAGTGCGTTACCACTGGGCTACCACTACTTAGTTATAGGTATACCTACCGATATACCTATGACTTATGTAAATTTTGTAAACAGGAAAAGTGGTTCAAAGTCATGATAATGAATCCCTCGTCATCATGAGTAATAATTAAAATTCATTTGTAATTAAATTAATATAAAGTATACTTTTTGAAATGGATACTTACATCATGCACTATTGTATGTAAATATACTTATCTGCTTCTATGAAGTCTGTTTTATGAGATTATGTATGAGACGAAACCGAATTGGATTTTAGATCAACCGATCTAAATCAACCGATCGAATTCAAACCTTCATATACAAATATTCCTAAACTACCAACGCTTAAGCAAAAAATATTATTTATGTAAAAAAATATTATTATTTATAGGCTCTTGTCAAAAATACTTGGAAAAAATATTTTATTATAATTACAAATTCTAGAGGAAGTATAATTCAATCAACTATTGCTATTATTATAATTTGCTTTTTTATTTAAATTTTATTCCTTACTAGCGTAGCGACTCACCCTCGATTCGCTCGGGTTCGTCCCTAGCTTGCTTCCCAATACACACTTTCATCCCAACTCTCACCCCTTAAGGGATGATTTTCGGTATGAAAACTATTTCACTCATTCACTCTTCATATCATGAGATTTAACAAAAACTTATTTTAGTAAAAGAAAAAATTCTTTTAATTTTCTTCTATACACACTTGTCCTGACAGGCCAAAAAAGAATTATCCAATTTGGTGCAGTCGATAGGAAGTTTTGCGCGTACATACATTGCGGTGATTCATTTTTATTTTAGATTTTAACCTTCCTTTAGACTATCGATTCGATAAAATAGTGACAGTGTCCTTTTTTGCATTTTTATTTGGTTCGATTTCCGGTTCAGGTAAGCTTTTTTAAAAATAAATAAATGAAGTAATAATTATTTAAAAAAAAAGAAATGTTTTCTTTGAGTAAATCTTGATAACTTAAATATTTTTTATTTCCTTCCATATCCCATCGATTTGTTTCACCTGTATAGGTTACAAGCTTTAAAGTAAGTTAGGTTTTATATTAACTTTAACTTCTTTAGTAATGGTGTTCCGTCTGAACTCTTTGGGTATGGAGTTCCAAAAAATGAGACTTCTAACTCATTACGCTATGCCTAATGCTCCTCGTTTCGATTAACGCCATACTAGCGTATTTTGCGTCAAATGTGACAAATACGTGACGAATATCTTTAATATAATTTGGCCCCGTTTCATTGTTCACCATCACCCCTTACCCCATGGTCACGCTTATCATGGAAATATGATAAAGCAATCAATAAAATATTAATTTGTTCTGTCTAAATTCTTTTATGGTTTGCAGGTGCAGACTGCTTACTGCTATATGTGCTTCACTTATTGCACATCTTTTAATTAATAATATGGAAACTTAGGTATACTATCTCAATAACTTTTAATTTTTATATTTGGCAAGAATAAATTGGATCTATCATGAAGATGGACATAGGTTACCTTTTATTTTAACCTCGTTTACTTTGAGAGCGGAACCACGGGAAAAAATAGTATTAATTATAATTGTAAGTTTTCGAACGGTCATGTTTACGAATTTCATTAAAAACTGAAATAAGATTCTCAGTATTTTTATCAAAAATAGTTCCTTTTTAGGGTTTTGTAACCAAAAAGGAACCTTTAAGTCATAATACCTCTGTCTGTCCATTTGACCGTATGTCGCGGCCATTTTCGACGTCGGAGACTTGCAATTGCTAGATAATTTTGTAGTTCAATTCAAATTACAAAAATAAAATGATATAAAAGGGCATACCAATAATGTAACTGGAGTGATCATCAAGTCCAAATACCTAAGTACGTGGAGTAGTTCTTGAAAATTAAGATAGATTTTTTCAAGTGACGTTTTAATTCAAGCAATTGGTTGCGGAACTATATGCTTCTAAAGTTTTAAAAATTCTGCCAACAAAAAAGAAATAAATTAATGGTGGAACTTAAAAAATAAAAATATATTTATTTCGATTAAGACACGTTTATAAAATAAAAACTGTACCGGCAAAAATAATATATTGTAGATGAATGAATATTTTTTTCGTATTCCATACTAATATCTCTAATATATGATGATTATAATATATAATGTATGATAATTGATGACATAAATAATGTTTTTTAACTTAAAAAAAACAAAAGTTATCTTTTTAGTCCTTATTTTAGAATAATACAGACAGATTGTAATAGAACTGAAAATGAAGCAAAACAATAAGATTTAAGATAATATAATATTTCTGTACATTTGAGACATGTGTCCATAGTGTTTTATGCTACGGAATCCTCGGTGTAGGAGTCAGGCTTCCACTTGCCCGATTTTCTAAAGTCCAATTTAGCAATCAAATATAATTTACTTGTTTCCATTGTATATAGTATTTATTATAGCCTTGAGAGTAAATGGAACTAGGAAAATCTTATTTAAAACTGACATTGCCCGCGGCGCCGCCCGCGTTCAGATGACCAAAAATCAAATTCTTAGGTTTTACATATTAGTATACTCTTACATCGCAGTTTTTGTATTTTTTCTCAGAAATGAGACATTTTCCCGCGGTCAAAATTGATGATTCTACATGTTGACCCGGATAACCAGCTATCACCATACCAAATTTCATTAAAATCCCTCCAGTGGTTTTTCTGTGATGCGGTAACAGACAAACAGATAAAAATCCTAAAAACTATAGATTCGGCCTGTGTATCGATAATAATGTCCTATTTGAATAAGATTTTCCAAAAGATATCTAATGTACAGATTCGGCTTAGTAACAATTTTATTATACTCGTATGTATAGATAATACATATGGCTAAATAAGTTGTTAAGCGTAAAACTCGAGAACGGGTAGACCGATTCGGCAAATTTGAACCCAGAATGTGCCTTTAGGGACTCTTTCAAAGCTATATATATATATATATATATATATATATATATATATATATATATATATGTATATGTATTAATAACGTGTATGTTTCATTAATAAAAGTATACGTATCAAAAATTTTAATATAATATGACTTATATACTTATTGTATATATACTTATTGTATATATACTTATTGTATTATATTAAAATTTTTGATACGTATTTTACATAATTTGATTTTCGAAAAAATGTATTATTATTATTTCAAGTGTTTCTGATCTAGTATTTGGTAGATAGACCTAGCCTAATGGTGCTATATTAATTCAGATATTAACTGCCCTTAATTATTTATATTATTCTTTAAAACAAATTAAGTTAGAAATGATTTATAAAAATATTTGACTCAAAAAATAAGGGCAATATTAAATGTTCAAGCTAATATTCTAGCTACCCTTGTACGTAAAGGAAGATGATAAAGTCGATAGTACCGCCTACGGTAACCGTTGCAACCAATCAGCGTTCACCACCCTCGAACCACCCCTTCCTAGACCAATCAGAGTTCAGAAATCTGACGTTTCTACAGATTGGGGGTAGTTTAGTAAAGCTTTTGAGTAAAATGAATCTTTTTTCTGCAAAATAAAGTCGAAATCTGCATAGCATATGATATTAATAATCGACGGGTCCATATTTTGGGATAGCACGAAATTGTATTTCTTTGATTTAGTACAGTTTGGTGTTTGATCTTAAACAGATCTCGGTAAGTTAGGCTTATCCTATTATTGGGAATACCGGTAATACCGTGTCACGCTAAGTGTAGTGGTGTGCGGGTTTTGCATAGGAGTGTGAAGACCAGGACTCAAGATTCATTTCCCGCTGATGTCATACGGCAGCGAGACGCCGCACGTCTGGAGCAGCTCATCTGTATGTATTTTTGCGGAACTATAATATCACATGTTATATCAAAATGGTATATTTTTTTTACAATGGAATAAAAATAAAGCTAATATAAGTTTTTCTTTACTTTTATAAAGTAATAAATTAATTAAAAAAATAAAAGGATTCACAAAATACTTCAAACAATTTATTATTAGTTATTCTAAAAGAAAAAAATATTATTTGCATACAAATATAATAATTACAAATATAACAAAAAGTAATATCATTATCGTCGAAATCCAGAGGTAGAAACATGCGTAAAATAAAAAGTTACTTATAAACATATTTTAATCTGTACCACGGGAACCGTATATTTTTCCTTTCTCAATAAATGGGCTATCGAACGCAAACAGTTTTTTTTTCCTGAGATTAGCGGTTAAAACAAACAAACTCTGCCTCTTTATAATATTAAAATTATATGAATGATTTGCATCTTGAGAGACAGACATTTCTCTTAATTTGTTCATTTGTTTAAGTGCCAGTCGGTCGGTTTATTCGCGACAAAAGTCGCGTGCACCACCACACAATAAACTATGTTGCGTATTTACGATTTATTGAAGTCTTCGACTCCTCCAGTTTTAATCCATCAGTCATGTTACATACTGTATAAAAACTGATCAACTCATACTTTTGACCAGTTTTTAGTATTTGTCGTTTTTACTTTCGGGATAACAAAAAAAATCTTAGAAGTAAAGTTTCTTGTACGGGGACTTCTTACAATATTATTTACTTTAGCTTTTTCATTTTATTAGTAAAGTAAAACACATATTATGGAAAAATAGAATAAACTGATATCTTATGTTTATGATATCTTAAGTCTTATTTAGATTTACGCGAATATTTGACATTTTAAATAAAACTATCTTTTCGGATACTAAAGTCTCTCTCGTGACCATGATTGCTGTAAAGCATTCGAAACGTCGAGAACCAAAAATCAAAGTAAATCCGCGAAATAATCCGAAAAGATAGTTTTATTTAAGATACCTTAAGTTTTGCTTCATTAATGCTTGAGCTTTCGTCCTACTAAATATTTTTGGACACCGTTACGTTATACATCGACATTAATGTTTTGTGTATAGCTAAGGGCTTACTGGATGCGAATGTAAACTGATTGTTTACATTTACACAATCAATCCACAAATGACGACAATAAAATAAACCTATAGAATTGAATTGAGTAGCTTAGTATTGTCCACTAAAATATAAACAAAGATGATTAACATAATGATCATCTAATTTTTGTACTCGCAGGGCAGTGAGGTGTCTCCATACGGGCCGCTTTGGGACGCGCCGCCGGCCCCGGTACCGTACCCTGACATCCTGGCCTTCCCACCGGCCGACCTGGGTAAGGCCTATCTATATTCTATATGACGTGCACAATCCATATTCTACGAACATCATCTTTAGTGGTATCTTGTGAGCGTTATCCGGGCTCAAATAGTAAAGTATTCAATGCTCAATACACAGTTTAATCAAGAAAATGTTATAAACTTGAAACGGTAATTCTAATAATTTAGCGGAGCAGCGGATTCATACTCACTGATCAGACTTCCACATACTATAATATCAAAACATAACTCTCTACGATCCACCATGATCAACCAACGTGACTAAGCCATATCTAAGGGATATCTATATTGTTATGTTAATAAAATGAACAAATGTAACTTCGATATTTAAAAGAGCAACTGTTGAGTTACTCGCCGGTTCTTCTCAGCAGAACTGCATTCTGAGCCGGGGGTATATACTGACGCTTAAATTAAATTGACGATTCTAAAGTGCTTGTAATAAAAGTCTAATTGAACAAAGTTTAATTGTTGTTGACGACATGTTTGGCTCAGTTTGTAGTGACCCTACTTACTGTGTCAACGTTTGCGGGTTCGTGTCCCGCTGGGGGCATTCATTTGTGTGATGAGCACGAATGTTTGTACTTCAGTCATGGGTGTTTATATTTATAATATGTATATATTTAAAGTTATATATATGTAGTGTATCAACTATCTGGTATCCATAACACAAGCCTCGTAGCTTACCATGGAACTAGATGGTGCTGTGTGTTAATGTCCTAACATATTTATTATATTTATTAATTTATTTCATTTCAATTATCAACATGAATATTGCGTGGTTTTCCCAAACCAGATATATGAGGTAAATAAAATTGCTGACCTGTTCAGTGATAACTATTTACGTCAACTTTAACCTTTATATGATTAATAACACGAATTGTTTAAATTAAATTTGTATTATCAACGGTACCATTTCTTAATTTTATTATAATTATGGGTTTTTCCCGCATGATTTCATCATATAACATTTTATATAAATTATGTAGAAATTACTAGCAAAATATTTTGGTCAATTTTGAAATAGTTTCATATGACTCGATTATAGTCGACGAACTGCTTCATCTACTATTTCAAAATAAAATAGATTCAAGAAAATTTCGTTACCTTTCAACTTTTATTGATTCAAGTCTTTTTTTAAAGCACCTTAACTAAAATTAAATCTCTTAACTTGTTAAAAAAAAATAGGTTGGGACATTAAGACACAGCACCATCTACATGGTAAGCTACGAGGCTTGTGTTATGGATACCAGGTAGTTCATACACTACACATATATAACTTTAAATACATACATATTATAAATATAAACATCCATGACTGGAGTACAAATATTCGTGCTCATTATACAAATGAATGCCCCCAGCGGGACTCGAATCCGTGACTGCTGGCACAGCAAGTACTACAAGCACTACAAACCGAGCCAAACGTGTCATTTATCGTGCGTGTGATCGTTAAATTGCATTTTTAATTATTAATTTTTTACTTTTACAAAAATGTGAGAATGTATTGTGTAATATATTTTTTATTGCCAATGAGAAATTATTAAGGCTAGTAAAAAGCTTTTAGAAAGCTTTCTGGGATCTTGTTTAAAAACCTGTAATAAGAATTGCCATTAGGTTTTTAGTAATTTTCTGAATATGCTATTTAGGCTATTTAGGCTGATTTTATAAGTTTTTATTGATTTACTTAGTTAATTAATTTAAAAGGTCTAAGGAAAACAAAATTCACAGAAGAAAAAAAATGTGTATGGGTAATTTCTTTTATGCACAAACAAACTATGCTTGAGTCGGTGTAATAGAAGAGGTGCTTATTAAGGATGGTATTATCTCATGTTTGTTAAACAATGGTGTAGCAATGTCTTAAAGAGTATTAATAGGGAATATATAGAATTGTGGTTATTCTGTGATACGGTAATAGACAGACAAAAATTCAAAAAACTATAGATTCGGCTTCTGTATCGATAATATTGTTTATTTCAATAAGATTTTCCAAAAAATATTTAATGTACAGATTCGGCTTGGTTACAATTTTATTATATGTATAGATATTATTATATTATGTCTTTATATGTTTTGGAAGATACGTTATCGTATTATTAGCAAACTCAACTTAAATTGATTTATAGTAAATTGACTTTTGACATAGGTATGACTCTATCTATCTATGATAGGTATGACTGATATAGGTAGGACTTTTATGACTTTATAATTTAAGTCTTAAAATTGTATATCACATTTTTTATAAACAATATTTTATTCAAAATCTTATCAAATCAAGGCTTATCAAATCAATATAAAGAAATAAACAATTATGCAAATTTTACAACTGAGTAATAATTTTAAAGTACCTAAGTAAAGTCTTATCTGTTTTTGAATTCAAAGTTTAGACTTTCTAAACATAAATTTTCTTGAGAAAATACGAACCATTATTTATAATATTTTAACATTTTCGATGTCCGGGATTACAATGATGCGATAAGCTTGCGATTACAATGTTTTGGACAAATTATTTGTAAAGCTATAATTTTATTGGAATTAAATAGAATAAGTTTACGTGTGTTAAGATGCAGGCAAATTAGTATTAGCTTCTAAAAAATTATCTGAGAAGAAGCAAAATTGTGGAAGTATATTTGCTATTTTCCTTCTTTGATAATTTTGTAATTTAAAACTATTATTTAAATAAAACCTAGATTTTTAGTCGTAGAGAACCATCATAAAGCTGGCAATATCTCAGTGAGGGAAAGTAAAAAATGCATTGCTGAATAATTATTTATATTATTTCAAAATTATTTTAAAAGTAGGTACATATTATACAGTAATAGTAATATGATAGTATTATAGACCTAAAATATACTAGTATGATGATATAATATGTATATGTATAATCATAAAAATTCACAATACGTAAAAGATTTGACCCATCAAAGTTTCAATTACAGTCTCAATGGTTTGATAAAATACACGGAATGTAAATTACTATCGTCGATTATACCTATCGCTTTGAGTCGAACTGCATTGTGAGTTGGTGGAAATTTTTTACGGAGTCTTTTAAAACTAAATTGACAATTCAAAAGTGCTTCTAAAGGTACACAGATTGCTTTTTTAAAATTACCTATTATTAATAAAACAGTAACTTAGCGAAATCTGTACATTAAATATATTTTTAAAACAATGACTGTAACGTATTATGTACATAATATAGACCCCAAAACAATAGTTATTATTTTTTTGCCTATTTGCCTATTTATCATAAAGAATATTCTATACTAACCATTAAAACATACCTAGGGACGAACCCGAACGAAGCGAGGGTGAGTCGCTAGTTTTAAATAAAATAATTTTTTCGTTGTTTTCAGCAGTTTTGTTTGCGTTTTGGTTACCGACGATCCAAATGCTTTACAGAATATCTTTCATGAACTTGTTGGCTGTAAAATAAAAATCCGAAATAATAGTTTTATTTAAAATGTGAAATGTTCGCATAAGTTGAAGATATTATGTATATAAAAATATCAGTCATTGGGATCCATATATTTCGTAAGGGAACTAGCTTGAAATTGACTGTATAGAAAGTTATTTGTATATTTTAGTCTGGTCGGCAGCAGGGTGCGGACGGGCCTCATCCCGCTCGACGCCGGGCAAGAAGCCGCGCCGTCGGGTCGCCTCTGTAGCTCAGCGTCGAGCCGCCAACATCCGCGAGAGACGTCGCATGTTCAACCTGAATGAAGCTTTCGATAAATTACGACGCAAGGTAACTTATTAATTTTCTTTCTCGATTCCCTAGTATTTTTTGATGAGGATGGAGGATGAAATGGGATATTTACCATGTTTTTCACTTAGTTTAGTAGTTACCGATGTTTCGGCATTTCTTTTCTCATTTCTTTTAAAACTTGCCTTTATAAGCCAGTGGTGGTTTATCAATTCTATGCTTAATATTTTTTTTATTTTGGACGTCGGGAACTCGATGCCTCGTACATGCTTGGGTTGATAATATACAGAGATCTATTTTGGACTCCCTAAACAAGGTTGATCAAGTTACACTTATTGTCGCTAGGTATATAGAAAAGCTAGTTATAGGTACGTATGTGTAACTAAATTTTGCAGTTATGTAATAGATAATACTTCTACTAAGTTTAAGATAAATCAAGAAATAAATAAAATTTAATGTCTTTACTTGTATGATATGAATTTGTCGGAATTCCTTTATTACGTACTTACATAAATATACAGTACCTACGTAACATGTTCATTCTCTCTACTCATACATAAAAGGCTTGATCTATGAACTTTTTTAATCAATCAAGATTAGTTTAATAAATAAAGTATCTATAATAAAAATATAAATTAACATAAAAAAACAATAAAATCGCGATTCCTGAGGTCAAGTCGTTCCATATTTTTATCGCATAGGTATTTTTCGATTATAAAAACTAATAAGTTTTTAAATAACAAGCTTCATATGTACTTGAATATTATTTTTACCTTTTAAAGATGTATTACTATTAAAGTTTATACCTATTATTAGTGTTTTTGTTTCAATTTCAATTTTATTTTTAACATTTACCGTTTAATTAACTTTAGTTAATGTCGGATTTATGTCCTATTACATCTATTTTTATCGAAAACAAGGTTATTGGAAAGTTTACATTACATTAAAACTAGTATAGTATTATATGATCTGTGCATTGAAATTTACATTTTGAGGGTAAATTTTCTTATCAACAGGTACCAACATTTGCGTATGAAAAACGTCTCTCCCGAATTGAAACTCTTCGACTCGCCATAACGTATATAAGCTTTATGTGTGAGCTGCTCCATGGATCACCCCAGCCTCATCATTCCAGTCATCCTCTTCATCCTCCACGACATGTTTTCGATGCCGAAGTACCTTGGTGTGCGTAAACAATCAGAGCCCAAAAAGTCGCAACATTAAAATAATTTTCCCCATTTTAAAGAAAAGGAAATATAATTGTTGGATATTTTGTCTATTTTTGAAAAATTGAATGTAAGTTCTTACTAGCTTTAGACTCAAAACGTATTAGAGTGCAGGCATTTAATTAAAAAAAAGTCATTAAGAGCTATTAAGTTGTATAAAGAAATTAATATAATTTTTGTGCACTAATAGGTATATCATAAACATAGATAAATTTATTGTTTTGTTCTAATTGTTTTTTTTTATATAAATGTCTTCCATTAGTTATAAGTTCTAATGATATAATTTATTAATTAAGTTATTCTAATCTATATCATTTTCGGTTTAAAGTTCAATACATGTTATTATAATATTATGTTGTGTTTTAATAATATTATGTTCTTTCTTCTCACGAACCTACCACATACCTATTTAATTAACAATGAAAGGAAATAATTACCAAATGAGTTAATTACTTCTTCATGTTAAATATGACTCATAAATGTAGTTAGTTATAACTAATACACAAATCTTAATTTAAAATTTTAATGAGGCACTACTTATAAGGTGTCAGCGATTTCTTGATCAATTCAGTATAGATTTTAAAAGTGATAGTGAACGTATAAAAACGAAAATGCGGCTTTCTTTCGCTATGGTAAGTAAAAAATGTCAAAATAAATGAAATCGATCCTTTGTTGAAGTTTAAATGTTATTTCAATAGGTAGTACATTTAGTTGTCAAAGTATTTTATTGATTCCGCATAATATATTAATCTTTACGACTCTACGATACGATCTGACATTCTAGGTACATTTAATTTTAGAAGAAGATAATTTTATTTATATTAACCGAAGTAAAATACAGAATTAATTATTATATTTAATATTTATTATATTTTTTGAGCGTATTCTGGCTTTACTTGATTACATTTTTTGTATTTTATTAGCCTTCTTTGTTCATAAATAATGTCGAAATACGTAAGTCCTTTTCACGGTTCTGTACCCAAAGGGTACCAACCCTATTTTTTAAGCCTCCGCCGTCCGTCCGTCCATCCATCCGTCCGTCTGTCAGATAGTTGTATCTCATGAATCGTAATAAGTAGAGAGTTGAAATTTTCACAATGTCTATTTCTATTGCCGCTATAACAACAATAATAATAAACCAAGATAGTGAATCTCAAAAAGGCTACCATGCAAATAAAAAAAAAACACTTATGGTACGGAGCCCTCCGTGTCCGATTTGCACTTGACCGATTTTTTCTAAGCTTTAAGGCTGAAATTGAACAAAGGTTAGATGTCTCAAACAAATAGGTTCTCATAACTTTAGTCGGTACTTATCATCTATTTTGGCAGTGAAAAATCAGTGAGGACAGATAAATTTATATCGTACTAGCATTTTCCTGCGTCTCCACTCGCGGAGTTTACCCCTCGATCCTAATGCTTGTAGCATGATGCCAATGTATTCAATAAATAGACATTACACATACTATTTTTTTTTAATTTGACCTCTAAAGAAAACAAAAAGTAAACTGTTCAGCTTTGTAATATTATTTTAAGGAAGATTTTTATTTATGAAGTTTAAAATATTTTTTTTTATTTGCTTACAGTATACTTTGTTCTTCTTGAGTCAAGCATTGGCCGACATCAACGTCATACGACGAAAGAGAGACATGGTATCAATAAAGAATTTTCTGTATAGCCTCTTTGGTTCAAAAACAAACAATGGGAATATTTACAGAGTATTTGACGATAATAATGATTATATAAAAACTATACCAGATTATGGTAGTAATTTTCGCAAAATGCCGATGGTAAACTCACATGAACTCATTCATTATCAGGGCTTACCATATAGACACCTAGTTGAGGAAAATTCAGCACAAATATCGTCGCTTAAGAGGAAATCGTTAATTAGTGGAAAATCATTCGCAGAAAATAATATTAAGAAATATAATAACAAGATGATTTACTGTAATAGCAATTCAGACGTTATTGTACCTGAAAAAAGTAAAATTTTAGTAGAAAAACCTTTGTTTATTCGAAATAGACTTCAAGATCTAATTATGGGGCGTACTATTTTTCTTCCCATAACAACGGCAAAAATTGAAAGATTTATTATTCCTGCTAATAAAGGAGAGGTGCACGTATCTAACTATCCAGTAAAGCGTGTGCCGTACAAAGAACCCATAAATATAAATGAAGATCTTAATTTGCCAAGATCATCATCTCTTCTCTCCTTAAATAACAATATATCTACAACAACAACTCTACCAGATCATGCGAGACTAACGAAAGAGAGTTTACCAATAAAAACGAATTCTGCTCTCGATATTTCAAAAATAGTAAGATTTACCGAACCTGTGCATTCGAGGTATAGCTACAAAAATATTTACCAGACGCAGCAAAACCAAGATATTAATGTAAATAATAACAATTCATATGTGACTTCCTCAACTGTGGCAACAGACTCTACAACGAAAAGTGTACCTTTGAAAAAAGATATTAGCAAAGGCTTACCTGCGAATTACTTTTTCTTACCGCCAATTCGTACAGAAAAAGCATCAGTTCATGTACCAGTAAATAGAAGAAAACCAGTCCAAGAAAATTTGTCAGGTGATAATTATTTGGACATTTCTTTAAAATATAATCCTATAGTTGTATTCGACCATACGAATAAAAGGAATGATCAAGCAATTAACATAAATTTACAGGAAAAACAACGTGGAGATATCCCTGATGTGTCATTATGATAAAAAGTGAAAAATATATGTAGAATAATATTAATTACTTAATTTATTATTAAAATATAATATTTTGATTATGTTATCTATACTTATTATAAAAATAAGTCCCCCGGCCGCGTCTTTCTGTCCTCCTGTCTGTCCTCCTGTCTGTCTGAACGCGATAAACTCGAAAACTACTGAACGGATTTTTATACGGTTTTCAACAATAGAAAGAGTAATTCTTGAGGAAGGTTTAGGTATATAATTTATTATGCTTTTATGTAAATTAGCTGAAATACGGCGACAAATGTTGAAGAGGTCGCAAAAAATCTCGCCAAATGGGAACTTTCCACGCGAACGCCGCGTAAACTAGCAAAGATACAGTTAAGTAATGTACTAGAGAATTCAAAATCTATAAAAATGCTACAAAAAAGTCCGCGATAGCATATCTCTATCTCTTACGGTTGACTTACAATAACCACTTTTATGTTAACATTTTTAATTAAAAACATTACGTTATTTTTAAAGTTATTTTCTTTAGTTCGGTATTAATCCTTATCCAAATGAATATTTTAGTTAGCTTAGTCATTTAATGCAGATTAAAATTGCTCTTTACACTAAATCAATCAGATGAATAGTTTTTGAGATATCGTTGTTAGAAGTAATTAGTAGCGAAACATTTTTAATGCTTGGCGAGCATTGAGATGCCTACGGCGAGTCCATCCCCTCTGCCCCGCATCGCTCGACCGCCTGCTCAAGCTATATAAACCGGGCGATGTAGCGCGCGATCCTAGGATACTTTTTACCGCGGGAAAATATCTTATTTCTGAGGAAAAATACAAAAACTGCAATGTAAGAGTATACTAATATGTAACACCTAAGAATTTAGTTTTTGGTCATCTGAACGCGGGCGGAGCCGCGGGCAATGCTAGTTAATTATAATTGTTAGTTTCCTTCAACTAAGTACATAGATTGTTATAGTCATATATTTGCTGAATCATAATTTCTCAACTTTAGTTGATTTTATTTTTATTTTTTAAGTTAACACAAATATATATATGTTAATAAACATATTTATAATTGGTCTTGACTTTTAGTCCAAAATAATCGCTTGTGTGTGATAACATTACACCTTTGAACCAATGACATGACAAACAACATAAGGTAAATCCCACAATCTTGTAATTAATTTTAAAGACAGACAATGCACATAACTTACTTAGCAATTAAACATGATAAAGGAAACAGTTATATTATTATCTATCATCAACGTAATTAGATTTTTCCGAATACACTGACTATGAATTGTAATTGTTAAATGAATTGTGAATAAATAAATTTATCAGGTTTACTAGGCGCTGTTTCAAATGCCTAAAGCTAAAGCTAGATTGGTCGACCAGACCGAAAACGATCTGAAGAACATTATAAAGGTATAATTTATAAACTCGTATAGAATATTGTTAAATAATATCCGTATACATTTTCACATTTAGAATTACAAACTAGGGACTACTAAATGGTCCTTGGTTGACTAGGGTATACCAGTTTTTGGTAAAAATTTGCTGCCTTATCAAATTGGTTCAGATTGTCTTAACAACCTTAAAACATGCATACTAATATTATAGATGTGAAAGTGTGTTTGTTTGTTTGTTTGTTCTTCTTTTACGTCGAAACGGAATGACGGATTGACGTGATTTTTACTGTGGAGATAGTTGGAGGGCTGGAGAGTGATATAGGCATACTTTTTACCGTAGGAGATTACCAGTAACCCACGAGAAAACACGTTATAATACAATCCAAAAAGATATTTATGATCAGAATTACTTGAAACTTGGTATTAATTCTCTTCAATAAAATTAAATAAACACATGTTTAAGCATTTTTCATAATTCATTCTATAAGGAAGTAAATTAGGGGATGAAAGTTTGTATGAAACTTTTTAGAGATTTTTTTGTAGTTTTAGCGCGAGCAAAGCCGCGGGTTCTGCTAGTTTTCTATAATAAGCACTTGTTTTGAGTTTGATAGTGTGAAAAAGATAACTAGACATTATTTGACACTCTGTAGCGATCTCAAGAACTTTTATGTAACTCGAGCTGAATCCGCGAACATACATACTCCTTACAGCTACAGCTTAATTTGGGTAATGTGCATAAAATAAAATATCTCAAATCAATATTGCTCAAAATTGTACTTGAGTAGTCATAATTTAGGAAAAATATAAAACTTTAGCGTTAGCTTAAAATAGAAAATAATAAAATTTATATTTAGATAATCATTCATTATCTTTACTTATTACCTTATTATAAGTATAAATTAATTTTAAACAAAAGAATATAGATACTTATTATAGCACTAAAATAAAACGCAAAATAAACGCAAAGTTTATTAAAAAAGTAATGATTTATAACTTCATCTCATATTTTAAAATATGATCTCAAGGCAATTTATTCATATTATGTATAGGTACATATTATTTTGTGTATGTATAGATATAAGATATTAAAGTACAAAAGTCATGGTAAGTAGGTAGTTGCAGTCTTTATTATATATTTGTCTAGAATTCTAGATACACTTAGGCTGTACACAATGGTTCAAAGAAAGACTGTCGTGTTGCCACCTGCTGTGATTTTTTTAAACTTGTGGCGGACTGCGAGACTGATAGAGGTTACATAAACAAAAAATAAACCAACAATAATAGAGATAAGGGCGGCACACATCCAACAGCCAAGTATACTTAGAAAAGTGTAAACGCCACTGGGTCGAGTGGCGTTTATTTGCAAGGTACGGAAGTTTAACCAAGAAAATAATCAAAACTACGACGGCTTAACAATACTTTTTTCATATATTTTAAATGCTTAATACTATCAAGCCTTCATATTATCTAAAATCCACTTTATATATTTAGTGACATCAGTGTATACTCCCGGGAATAAAGATCCACATTGCCTCGGCCCGAAGGAGACGATACCATATTGGATCGTTCGGTATATACCGTCGACTTCATCTTCCAGCATCAGTGGTCCACCAGAGTCACCGCTGCAGGAGTCCTTATCCATCTCACCGGCACAGATTTTGTTCAAGGTCATGTCCGGGCTGCCTGGAGCTAAGTTCCTATATTGGATTACTCATATGTGTATAAAATGTAAAGTAAGTACATATTAAAATATTTTGCTGAAATAAACTTTTAAATACTTAAGAAATCTTGCGTGTATAAACTTTCAAGTGTTTTAGTACTGATATAGTTTTAGCGTAATTTTTCGACACAAATTCAATTATACTAATAATTAATTTAAGACACTTTGCTAATTAACTAAATTAACTTTTTAATAATTGTTTTATAAAGGGACATGTTACATTTTTCCACTTGCCAGTGTAGCGAAGGAAAACATTATAAGAAAACCTGTACGCCTGAAAGAGTTAAACACCTTCTTGAAAGACGTCTGAAGTCTATGCACCAATCCACACGGTTGGTGGCTAAGCCTATCCGAAGTGGGACGTTAAAATGGTTGATTATTAATAATTTAATAATTGCTAAAACACTCACTTGTTGTAAAATTCGCGACACGTCACCGCAGACAGTATAGGGATGTTAACTTTCCTCAAGATAGCGGACTCTGAACCTGTCTCCGTAAGACCCCAGCCGGTAACTGTTCCCCTCTTGTCTCCGCTAGTAATTTGAAGTTCGCGCAGTTCTTTCGGTACTGGTAGACAGACCGGTTTTGCGTTTTCTACAAATAATAATATTATTTTATTTTTAATAATTTAGTCATAGACGTGGAACCTGGTTAAGCGAGAGTTCACGGGACCGCGACCTCTTTCTCGCTATAGAGGTTTCTCAATAACCCGAGTTGCTAGCTTATAGAGGTACAGGAGTGGCCTTTCTCATTTATGAGGTTTAAAGAAATATAACAAATGTGAAGTATAAACATGTATATATTGTATCCATGGGCGGCAGCAGAATTATTTCCAGGAGGGTGCATCTGATTCTTCACATTAAACTGCTAACTAATCTTTAAATGATTAACTTTATAACTTTTATTCATATCTTGTTTATCGTCTGTCCTTTGAAGATGTCTACATTTAAACACGGATTTTACTCATATAATTTTATTTCTTTAACTTTTTCCATATTCTTTCATGGCAGGGGTGCGAGTGCATCTGCTGGCCCCTCCCGGCGCCCATGTATCGGTATCATCATTAGAATTTGACTAGGAACTAATATTAGTTCGTCGCAATTTAAGAAAACAAAAACAATATTAGTTCGACGCAAAAGCGATAAATCGCAGCTCTTAAATTCGCTCGACTGTCGCTTATAGAGGTACACGCACGCAGCAGTCTCAGTTATAGAGGTCCAGGAATGAAAAACGACTTTATCTTATAGAGGTTTCTGTTTCTTTGTTATAGAGGTTTTAATGGGATAAAGTGACGGCACCTGGCAATCATTCTCGCTTACCCAGTTCTCACTTACTCAGGTTTGACTATGGATTAATATTCGCTTAGATTTGAAAAATAATGTATATATGTAAATATATCGTAGTTTGTGTATATATTATAGGATTCTTATTTAACATAAAACTTGTTTTTAAACTTTCTTGAACTTTTTATACATATATAGCCTCTTATGAGTGCGTGGTGAGAAACGCTTTATATGTTTTTTCAGTACGAAGGACGCCTTATGTACTGTTTACACTCATAAGGTAATTTTTTTTACTACTTATTTTAATAAATAAAAGTACTTACTTAGTGTCAAATTGATGGGTTTTCTGAGTCTAAGGAGCGCAATATCATTTTCTATAGGTGTGCGCTGATAATCTTTGTGAGGTATCACTTCTTCAACAGAAATATCCTAAAAATAATACCAACACTTAAAAATAATTAGAAACAATTCTAAAAACTGGTAAAAGAAATGTAGATAGAGACTGTCTAATACCACAGTGTATAAGTTATAGATTGTGCCAATACTATACCATTTACGTTTATATTAATCAATTAGTTAATTTCAAAATACTTCTAATTTTTTTGTGTATCTCTTGGATAAATAATAATAATACATATAATATCTATCAGACTGATTTCGGCCAGCGCAGCTAATCTCACTGAGACTAACCAACTGCGTAGGAGATATTATAGAGTTCTCTGCACTGTAATATTTCCTGCACAGTTGGGAAGAAAATCAGGTGTAACACCGCTAACTTTCTTAGTGAGGAAACCCAGTAACAATAGTTGGCTCAACCCGGGGTTCAAAACCAGAACCTACGTGTCTTTATCCGTGCATGCTTCCCACTAGGCCAATAAGGCAGTTGGATAAGTATTTACTTTACTGACGACTATACGAACATATAATATATTTTGCTTATTTTATAAGATATTTTTGTAAATGTACCTGAATGTGTGATTCGCATATAGTAAGAGGATACTCTCCTTGGCAATCCTCTTTAGATCGAATGTCAAATTCACCGATGCGTACACCAGCAATTTTTTTATTGTGGACACAATGCGCAGCGGTCAAAATATATCTCGAGTTAATAATTGATCCCCCACATTTAAATTGCAGATTATCGTTTCCTATAATTATATTTGAGATTTATTTCAGTTTGAGAAATATTTGAAGGCTTTTACCATGAAATCAGAGCTAAAAACTAGTCATACTAATCAATAAAATAGCGACTTTTTTAGAGTACATAATACAATGAGTCGCTATTTTTGTCTGACTGTTTATGATCTTAATTCGTTAAAAGTATAGAGTAAACTTTAATACGATTTTTTCATTAAAATTTTCAGAATGTCTTCTGGAAGGTATATACGTATGCATACTATATTTAGAGAAAGTAAAGTCGATGTTTTGTAATGAAGTCTTCAAGTAAATGCAAAAGACACCTGTGGACGCACAACAGAAAAACAAGGATAAATCCTACTAATATTATTATATAAATGCGAAAGTTTATGAGGATGTCTGTTTGTCTGATGTCTGGATGTATAGATATATGAATATTTGTCACTCTTTCACACAAAAACTACTGAGTGGATTTTAATGAAACTTTATAATAATATAGCTCATACATCAGAATAACACAGCCTATTTTTTATCCCGAAAAAATGTACGGTTCCAGTGGGATAGATTTGTTTTTTTTTTAAAGAGGCGAGCGGCGAGCCGCTACTATGTATTATAATTGCGAACAAATATGTAAAACATGATGAAACATAGTAAGAATTACCGGCAACTTACCAAAATTGAAAATAAACGAGTTATTCAATAAAAATAATCAACTCTTAAATTCAAGATGGCGGATGACGCAATGGGGCTGATACCCCGAGAATCTAAATTTAGACTGTCAGTGATAATAACGCTGGCTAATAACTGTTTATATCTATTTAAAGCGTACCTAGTGACAAACCCGAGCGAAGCGAGGGTGAGCCGCTAGTTAAATATAGAAATAGTAGATAACATAGTGATATAACAAGGAAGCAAGATGAATTCTGTTTATTGTACGAGTAAGTCAATCTTAATCTAGTAGCACTTACTTTTTTAACGTTTCATTATATTGAGTCGTTGGTGCTTTGTTTTACTCGGATCGAATTTATATGGCCAATAGATTAAAAAGGACAACGTATGTGCACATGCAAGAATATAATGTACAAGAATAGTACGTGCAAGAATAGAATGCATTTTATATTAAATGTGTATACTGAAACCTGAACTTTCACGTGTTCTATGAGAAATTAGTGCCATCCATGGAAACTCGTAGATATTAGCGATTTTTCCTCCAACAATTCTGTTTCCGTCAATACCTCCACAAGACTTGGGAAGAAGGCTTAAATTTGGGTGGGATGCAATCGCGTCCTTCAAGTCATCATCAGAATTGGCCCAACGGTTGTCGTAGGCGTTGTCGGTTGTAAAATCAGAACAGCAAACCTAAATTTTATAATAGATTTATTATATTAAAGGTATTTAATATTTATTTATATAAAGTTGTGTCGTACAGAGCTTCCGTACTTTGGACAATTGCCTCTAACAGTATCTGGAGTAACATTTTCACGAAGCTTAATTGTTTCTGTTAATGACCCGAACCGAAGAGTATATTATAAGAATAACCTTCGCACAAAGAGATAGATTCAAGATCAAAATCTTATTTATCAATTTACATAATACTTGTGTATAATTTTTTCTAGACATAGCCCAGGAAAACCGTGTTATCGGTTTAATATAGATATTTATATTATAAACTTCGAGTAACTTATCAGGTGTCAGCTACTATCCCCTATATCTTAATGTTTTAGCCTGAGTTTATAAAGTATTCCAAAATCAGAACAATTGTGAAGAATTATGTTTACCTATTAACTATTTACATATTTCTTGTTTACCTTCGGTGCTGTGACGCCGTTAATTAATTGTGTTCCACAGAACGACTCTCTTATTTTACGCATGGCTTCCGCGTTATTTTTTTTCGCGGATGTATAGTCTATCGCTCCCTGACAAGAGCGAAGCAAAACGCAGTCCCTGCATTCTGAAAAATTATTCATTTACACATAATTGTGTAGGAGATTCATTCTACCGACTAAATTAACAAAATTTTTGTGATCATCAAGTAGGAAAAGTCTATTTTTTTACTCATATAGCATAGATGACATAATAATAAAGTAGATACGGATACCAAAGCCCATACTAAGATATTTTAGCTATTCTTTGGGATAATTTTGTTTAAACTAAAAGTGTTAAAACAAATTATACTTTAGTACCATACGAGCGACTCACCCTCGCTTCGCTCAGGTTCATCCCTAGGTACGTTTTAATTTTTTTGAGCGGAACTCTAATTCTTTTTCTAAAATAAAAGTAGCCTATGTTACTCCCTATAACATCAGGTATCTTCCAGTGAAAGTCTCGTCAAAATCTGTTCAACCGTTTCAGAGATTATCCGGAACAAACAGACAAAATTTTTAAAAATGGTGCTTTTCTTATAAGTACGGTACTATATCATTTCATATGCATTTAGTAAAACGCTGTTATTGTGACATTCTAAACAGAGACTTCAATTTTATTTATCTGTACGTATAGATAAATGCGAAAGTTTGTGTGTCTGTATGTTTACTTCTTCACGCTGAAACGGCTGGACAGATTAGGAAAAAATTACTATACAGATAAACTACGACTTAGAGTAACATAGGCTACTGTTAGTAGTAAAATTTGCCAATAGATGGCGCTAACTGTATTTTACATAATATATTAGAGATATAAAAACTAGGATCGCATATATGTACCTACTTATAATATACGATTGATTATAGGGCAATTTTATATAATTGCGCATAAACTTTTTTTATAAGAAATAGCAACCTTGCGTTAGGAGATTAGAATTGCATATAACTGACGTGTCATAAAAATGAGTTATATAGTATAATATAAATCAACATTCAGCTGTGCGGAAGAAGCCGCGGGTAGCGGTAGTTATATAATGTATGTTATAAGTAAAGCATTATAAATGAGAAAATAAAAAAAATAATAAAACATTTACTACAATTGAGCAAACAAGATATTTAAGAACAGGTTTGAGCATTATCATTTTATATGTAGTAAAAAATAATGTTCTTAGAATTTAATTTGAAAACGATTTGTATACTTACGAGCTGTTCCAGAAACTTTATCAGCTCCAAAGAGCACTAAAACACTTATTATTGTTGGTAAAAACATTTTTTTAATATTATACCAGTTATAATTTACAGAATTAATAAGCACAAAACTTTGTGCTTCCTCCGTTGGAGGTCTTTAGAAGACTAGCTGCGAGACCTGTTTCGTTAAGGAAAATATGTGATGGAATAAGATGTTCATTACATACTTTTGCAAGAATAAAAATCAAACGGAATTGTAATGTAAATGTAAATAATATAAACAGAGTGTATTAGAACTAAACATGAAGCCGAAAAATAATGTTTTAATAAAAAATAATCTAATTTATTATTTTAATGCCTGGAAGATTTTTGTTCTTATTTTGAAGTCGGTTTATTTTTTTAAATTACTCTTTTATTTCGTAATTTTTCGTTTTAAGTAAAAACTGAAATAGTTTTTGTAACAAAAAGAAATACTAAGAAGTAAAAATTAACTGAACGGGGGTTATCATTAACTATAGATACCTAATCAGATATTTTCGAAGTTGGTGTCAGCCGATACAAAGCAAAATAAATCTATTTCGGTACGTATAATTTATAAATACATCATTTATTGATGTATAATATTTCAATTTTACAATAATATTACATACATACGTGTTGAATTGATAACCTAATTTTTTAAAGTCCGTTAAAAATAATATATAATGTTGTAAAATAGTAGGCAAATGACAATTTGTATACAGAGTGAGAGATAAGTAAATAAATGCTAATAAAATGTAACGGATTTTATTATAATAACGAAAAAAGAGCCGCATCGAATGACTCGGGTCCTGTGTCTCTACGATGAAAAAAAAATTACATACGCCGTTGAAAACGCCCGTACTTATATATTTTTTTTAGCAAGATTAAATGCTGTATCTATATATAAATCTAGTCATTTTAGACATTTTGTACTTAGAGCAAAAGAAAGACTGCATATTTTGCTTTACAAATACTTACTTCTTCCCATTTAAAAACTTAACGCTACTTACAGCTTTTCTGCGGCGTGTGATTCTTACATTCGTTTACTTACAGCAAGTTTAGGGAACCTACAGTTTTAGTTTTTGTTATTTACAGCAAATCATCACGCATTTGCTTTAAAAGCTCACACCACATAATGCATTTTAAAAACCTGTGATTTTTTAGAAATTTGAGATAATGCATTTTGATAAATCATTTATAATTTCATTTTACCGTTACGCCATTGAAAAAATGATAGTACTTTGAAGTTGTGTCGGTGTTACCGCATCGCTACCGGCTCCGCCCGTACCCTTCATTCCTTGTACGACATTCTGTTATTGTCTCATTATGTTTTATCTCTTATTATTATATAAGAGAAAAATACTTTTTTAATTCATTGTATTGTTGAAACGAAGTTCTGGCAGTATAATTAGAGTTTTAAATTTTGTTTCAACAATTTAAAAGACCATAATTTTTTTTACCATTGACGACATTTTATTTCAACCAAACATTACATTACCAACTGACCCACTGCATTTCTAGATCTAATCATAATTATAAATTTAATCTTACATCATGAATTGCAGTACCGAAGTAAATAAATTTACTGTAGACAGTATATTTACCGCCTGTAAATTATATATATATATATATATATATATATATACTAGCGGCTCACCCTCGCTTCGCTCGGGTTCACCTCTAGAAAAGCACAAACAGATCTATCCCACGGGAACCGTTCATTTTTCCGGGATAAAAATAAAATAAATAAAATAAAATAAGTAACCTGTTGTTTGACCTGCAATATAAGGTATCAGCATGCCAAATTTTAATAAATTAGGTGCATAAGTTGTTGTGTACTGAGCTGTATAAGTTACTATAATTTTTTAACTATCCCACGGGACTCTTTAATTTTCCGGAATGAAAAGTATCAAATTTCATTTAAATAGGTTCAATAGTATCGGAGATTAGCCCGTACGAACAGACAAACAGACAGAGAAACAAAAAAATTGAAAAAATCTGGATTTGTTCTATTTCTCTGCTTACGGGATGTAAGAAGAGAACTGACTCGTTTTTTAGCATTTTTTTCTACCATCTATGTACAGACATTCGACCTCTACAGTTTTATTATTCATATATGCACCTATATTCAGATAGAATAAATAACGTATAATAAAACAGAAATATATAATAATGAAAATAGTTATAGCGAGTGTACCTTAGGAGATAGACATATTATACTATGTATAATATATGTATTGATCTATCTCTTAAGGTTGAGCCAACGTTAGCCATATAAATTTCTAAAGACAATTCGATAGAACCAGTTATTGTATTTTCCCGTGGGAATGAATAATTTGCCTGTCGTAAAAAGTATTCTAAATGTTGACCCGAGCACTAAGTTTTATCACTATACAAAATTAAGTTAAAATCGGTTGAGTACTTTTTGCGTGAAACGCGCACATCGATTTGACTAAGTTTTATTATAGGTATAGATAAGAATAAATATTGCGAGTGTAACTTAGAAGATAGACATATACTATTCACAACTTTTCTGTAGGACTTTTCAAGACCTACAATTTTTTAGTATATTGTTTTGATGTATGTCTTAAGAGGATTGTGAAGCTGTAAATTTTCATACAAAAAGCGATAACGTTTTTCTCCCCTTAAACATAGTCTAATTTTCATAATTTTTGGAAATGTTGTAGATATAATCAAAATCTAGGTCCGTACGTTTTTATTTTTTAGAAATATTGCGTACGATAGAAGTTATTAGCATCTAAATATCTATATTTTTGACCTAAAAACTTCCTCCAGCGTTTTTATTTTTTTAAATTAAACTAAACTGAATTACAAAAAAAAGAAAACGTACAGACCTAGATTAAGGTGTACTGAATCTAATGAGACCAAAATCGTCTCATTTCGTTAATGTTTAGGGGGGTGAAAACGTTATCGCCCGAAACAATATTTCAAAAAGGAAATGTAGGTAATTGAGTCTAAGACTTGCAGCTCTCTCTATCGCACCATACGGGTCGGGGGCAGGGGCATATTGTAGACTGTAGTGATGTTGAAGGTGCTATCGATATTATTATCTCCTAGGGAGGAGAAGGTAATATCGATATATCGATCGATACTGAAAGGATTCAATCCAAAGTTTAGAATTTAATATACTCGTATGTATAGATTGTAACTAAGCCGTATCTGTACATTAAATATTTTTTGGAAAATATTATTGAAATAAACATTATTATCGATACAGAGGCCGAATCTATAGTTATTTGAATTTTTGTCTGTCTGTCTGTATGTCTGTCTGTCTGTTACCACGTCACAGAAAAACCACTGGAGGGATTTTGATGAAATTTGGTATGGTGGTAGCTGGTTATCCGGATCAACATATTATAGGATTACCGCGGGAAAATATTTTCTGAGAAAAAATGCAAAACTGAATATATATATATATATATATATATATATATATATATATACAGGGTCATTTTTAATTTACTGAAGACCTTTTTGGGAATATACTATTTACATCATAACAACAACCTCTGTAACAAGAAAAAAATATATTCTTAAATTTTCATTTTCATACAAAAAATAAAAATATTTTCTATATCATCATCATCATTATATATGGCCAAGTTTAAATGAGTAAGGGCCACTTCCTACACCCCTCCACCCCTCGCCCTCCACCGGTCACGCGCTTTCTTTTGCTAATTGCTGGACTATTACCGTTTAGAAGGAGCAATAAAAATACTTTTATTTTTGTAAAATTTATATTTTTAATTCTATATTCGTTATAATTTTATGAAAATTATTACGAATAGTATGTGTATAATTATATATCTTTATATATATATATATATATATATATATTATATATATATATATATATATATATATATATATATATATATAATTATGCGAATAGTATGTGTATATATATATATACACATACTATTCGTTATAATTTTTTCGAATTTATCGATATTTTATTAGTTTTTGGAGTTAACTTGATAGAATTTTCTGAAAAAAATTATTTTAGGGCATTTACAGAAAGAAATGAAATTCATTCGTAATCTAATCTTGTTTATTCATTAGTTAAAAATATATTTTAAAATTAAGTTTATATATTTTATAAAATTTAGTCATAGATTTGTTAAAAAATCGTAAATCATCATCATTCATGATCAGGTCATTTTATGAATTTCTATTCCTTATATACCTGCTAACATTATAAAATCATAAAACTTCAGGTTTTCAATAAAAAAAAATATTTTAAAAATAAAAGGATTCCGATGGGTCTATTAGTACATAAACAACAAAAAAATCTAAAACTTTCAACTTTTGAAACGAGATTTTTGTAATTGATCTAAACCACCTATTTATTTTTTTATGATTTTTTGAAGTCATCAATCTAAACAAGTCAAATTTTAAATGATATTTGCCACAGAATTGTAATTTAGAGTTATTTCAGTTTATAAATAAAGGTGCGATGTAACTTGTAGGGAATGTATATTGTACGCAAACCGTTAAAATAATAAATATTAGATAAACTTTGAAATTGCTCTTGCGCCGAGTCGCGCCGCCCCCGCCCCCGCCCCCCGCAAGCGCCCGCGCGTCACCGGCTGCTGCTATCATAGTGTGTGTGAGAATTTGCGTATGCAAAGCGGTATGAAACAGATAGCATTTTTTAAAATACCTACTCTCGCCGCGTATCGGCACTTCACAATCCTCTTAAGGCTTAGTCAGAGGAAGGTTTCTAGGGAGGACTCGATAAAACCAGTTATTGTATTTTCCCGTGGGAAAGAAAGATTTTCTTTAAGTATCTAGGCAGTGGTATCCCAGTGGTAACGCGCTCGCTTGGGAAACCGAGTGAAGTAAGTTCAAATCCCGGGTCTCGTACCTCTGATATTTTCATGTGCGAATCATTTCTAACACAGTTACCACTTGTCTTAACGGTAAAGGAAATCCTGCATATCTGACATAACCTAGCAAGTTTTCGAAAGACATGTGAAGTCCACCAACCCGCACTTGGCCAGCTTGGTGGACTATGGCCTGATCCACCTCGTACTGAAG